AAAAATCATTGATGATTAATAATGAATGATAAAAATTACTGGTGCTATAGTTTCTTTTATAAATTATATCTTAATATAGTTCGTTTAAAAATATTTACATTACACACGTATCTCAATATTGTGAAATAATTTTTACGATTCATTCTTTTTAGCAAAGTAAACTATTTTCCAAAACGACTTATATGTAAGTCTACGGGAAGATTGCAATGGATCCTAAGACAGAACAGAAAATATTTAAACAAACACAATGGCCTCAATGGCTCGCTGGTATCGGAAGTATGTGTTACTTATATTAATATTTCAATATTAATACTATATCAATGTTAACGAAATATATTTATTACATATATTAAAGAAACCTTTTAAATAGTTCCTAAAACATATTCATATTTGATTGAAGAAATATTTACTTCAATTGGTACATGTAAAGAAGCTCTTTATCTTTTTTCTTTATCTTTTCTTTATCTTTTTTCTTCTTTATCTTAGAAAATATAAACACAACTAATAAGTTTTTAATTTTTAGCCAATCTTCTGCTTTTACAAATAGGAATGATAGAGATGTGGAGTTCACCGTATTACGAATATCTGACTTCACCCGAAAGTGACATACCCGTGACAATGGACGAAGCTTCCTGGATAGTCTCTATATTACTTATAGGAGATATAATTGGCGCTCTTTCTAGTGCTGTTATTATGCACTATTACGGTACTGCAAGAGCGGTCTTGATGATGAGTTTGACAATAACTGCCAGCTGGTTTTTTATAGCTGTAGCTAACGAAGTGGCATGGTTGTACGCAGCCCGAATACTAGCTGGCATTAGTATGGGACAGGCATTCCTCTATGTCCCGTTTTACCTTAGCGAGATTGCAGACCCTACTATTCGCGGCACTCTTGTTGCCTTAGGTATGCATTAATACTTTCTACAGTTACGTTAAGCAAATTAATATATGTAACAAATTGTTTTGTTATCGTAAACATCGTAATTAATCATAATATAACATGTTACAGAAAGTTTTTGTCTCTACATACATAATACGTATGATAGATTTCTTATTTATAAAATTAATATAGTAAAACATATTATAAAAGAAACAAAAGTTCCAAAGAATTAAAGCGGATACAATCGCGTTAACGATAAATAATTATATGTAATACTTATAATATAATACTTATGTATTAACAAAGAGGTTTTTTTTCGCAGCTACAAATGGATTATCATTAGGCAACATAATGATGTCCACGATGGGTGCGTATTTAAGGATGGATGTGAGCGGTATCATATGCTTTGTCATCAGTTTAGTGCCGTTAATTATCACCTTCTGGTTGCCGAACACACCGCATTATTTGATCAAAATCAAAAAGGAGGATAAAGCGCGAGCCTCGATACTCTGGTATCATCATGATTGCAATGTGGAATCCGAGTTGCAAGCGCTGAAGCTCTTCCTCGAAAAGAATAAATGTCTACCGTTCGCAGACGTTATAAAGGAATTCAGAAATCCGTGTGTTTGGAAAGCACAAGTACTCGTGTCTATACTCGTCATATATTATGAATTAAGCCAAAGCTACTTGTTGTATTACATGGAGACCATCCTAGAAGACGCTCAAGTGACTGTTATAGAGCCGTCAGTGATGGTAATCGCCGTTAACGTTACGGGATTCGTCGGTTCCCTGGTTTCTATGTTCCTGATCGATAAGTTCGGCAGGCGAATTCTGATGATCATCTCCAGCTTGGGCCTAACGATCGCGCTAATCTGCTTAGGTGTACAATATCAACTTCTCGACGCGGGCTATGACCCCACCAGTTTTCAGGCTTTACCAATTTTCGCGGTGTTGCTCTTTGAAATGTCCTCATTTATCGGCATCATCCCAGTACCGAACGCGGTAATAAGTGAGGTCTATCCACCACATATTAAATACATAGCCAGCTGTTTCACCACGGTTGTCGGTGGGCTAATCGCTTTTGTCGCCATGTCGATATATCACCCTTTAGTTAATTTGATCACGGAAAAGTACGTGTTCTATGCGTATGCTTTGATACTACTAACCGCCGTACCATATAGTTATTTCTGTATGCTTGAGACTAGGTGCAAGTCGTTACAGCAGATTCAAAAAGAATGGAAAAGTTAAACAGAATGTTTCAGCCGGATGAGTCAAATACATTTATTATCGAATTCTTCAGATCTCTAGAAATTTGAAACAAACTCGTTTTTCATGTTCATTACGAAACATTTTTCGTGTCGACAGCGATACTAAGTAATATTAATATGACAAATAATGATTTAACAAATTAAAATCATAAAGCAAAATATTTTTATTTCATCTGAGCATAGGTAAATTATTTAACTGTGTAATATAAACCAACGTGGATTAACGAATAACATCTGACAAATATATAACGGTACTCACTTCTACTCATTGTATATCATCTTAGCACATGTACAATTATGCTGTATGGGGCCATGAAAGCTCGCGATAGTGCTGGATTATTGAACGTGTTGAATGATCCAAGGGTCGGATTAACATTATACGGTAAATAAATTCATGCTTAGCTCTATACTTTTTATCACTATTTTAATTTTTAACAAAATTAAAATAAATAGCTTTGATTTATAACTATTTTAACGGTTTCAAACAAAAAACTTTCATAAAATTCTTTGAAATGCCATATTGTCCCACGATTATATGATTTTCAGGATAAATTTTGAGAGAAAATTCTCTCCGTGTATATTACGAATTTTGTAAAGTGTCAATCGACTTATAAGTAATTTGGGATGTATTAAAATATTTTTGAACTGTGTACAAACCATTACAAATAAAAAAATTATAATAGTGAATATGAGGTAATGGAAAAAGAGGAGGAGGGCAAAAAAGTGGGAGAAGTAGGAGAGTTGTAAGCAGGGACCCGGACCGGACCGAAACCGAAACCGAAAACCGTACCGTAACCGGCATTTTTGTCGGACTGGAACCGTAAACCGTACCGAAATGTTATAAAGCCTACAGGACCGGAATCGAAAGCGATACCGTTAAATTATTTTCGGTTCACGGATTAATATTTTTCAATTGTATATACACTAGGATTAGAACAATAAAAAAACATAATTTATTCCATAAAACATCATAAGTCAACATATTCAAATTCTTTCTATATAAGTCAGTATTTTCCATTTTATACAATATGTTTTTTATTTACGTGTATCATGCTACTCTCTAAAATTTGTGGAGTGAAAATACTGCCATGGAGTGAAATGTTCACCCTATTGGCGTGAATATTTCCTCCAACAGAGTGAATATTAACTCCAATGGAGTAAACGTTTCACTCCATGGCAGTATTTTCACTCCACAAATTTTAGAGAGTATGACGTGATGTTAGAACGCAAGTAAATGCATCATATTATCGATTAATATATTTAATATATTGCTCTCTATGTATCATACATATACAATTCGAAATAATCCACACGCTTGCTTCGATTCGGTGAAATAATCTGTCTCCCTCCTTCTCCCTTTTAATTCAAAACAGCAAAATCTCATATCTACAGACAAGTGGCCCCCCTCTCCAATTGCGGCCAATAAAAAATAGATTATCGCTAAGACACCAGTCCGTAGAAAAAACACGTGTTTTCTTCGCTAAACGTAAACGGCGCCATATGTCACTCAAAAGAAACGACTCGCTCAGCATCCGCTCGGTGAACCGATAAGGGAGGTCATACCGGGAGGGGACGGTGGTAAAGATTTTGCTTCGTGGTTAATGTCGAGGCTATACGCGGCTCCTTGGCGAGCGTCAAGTAATCTTCTCTCAACCGGATGAAACATTAGATCGACGCGATTCGCCGATGGCGATAGCGCGAGACATGACATTCATTAAACTCATCGATGCTTCAGTCGGGACTCTCGGTGAGACTTTCACCTGAGCAGTTTACCGCGGATGTTGAGAATGACAATCGAGATGGAAACTCCCTCCGGGGAAATCTCTCTGCGAGCGATTACGCGTACGGATACTTTCTCGTAGAGGTCAAACTTTCCTTATGTGCACGGCACACGCTTCGTGTCTGTACTGTCGTCTGCGAGATTCTATCCGTAACTTCTTGCTCTTGCATCGCGATGTATCTACTACGTGTTATTTAAAGTGGCACCTGCAATTTAGAGCAGACGTTTCTTGCCTATTTAATGATAATTTGATAATCGCCGCTTATCCTTCTCGGGATACTTTATGCCGCTATTGCGTCTCTGATTAAATTCTAATCTGATTTATCGCGTATTTACCAGTCATATCTGTTATGCATCAAAGCGATGTTTAGGCAGACTCAACGCACAAAATTTAATCGCGGGTTACTCACATTCTTTATCTTTCGTTCTTTCTTTCTCTCTCTCCTTATCTCGTACTTCAATTCTTCAATCACTATTGAATGCTGATTTCGCACACGGATCGCATTACCCCTTCTTTCGTTTTTTTTATTTATTTGCTCTCGGTTCAACTGCACAATCAGCTATGCAATCATATTCAGACACATACGCGCAAACACACACGCTCGTGCCAAAATAAATATGCACGCATGCACATATATACGAGTCCAGAATAGATCCGAATCGGTGGGAGACCGGGGGATCGGTAGGTACGTCGGGGACTCTTACCTGGGAGCAAAGGCGAGCTGAAACGGCGGGATGCTGCCTGTGGAGTCTCTGCGGATGCCGTGTAACCGGGCCAATCGCGTCCGAATCCGGCGGCCGGATGAGACGGCAGAAAACTCGGCGTTTCGACCGAAGAACGCGCCGTTGACTGCACGACGGAGACTGCAAATGGGTATCTCATCGGTTTGACCTATGACACATCGATTATATATGGACGCGACGGACGTAATGACGCACGAATAAAAATCTTTTCCTAGCTCCTCTACCATCTTTCTGTGCATAGAAATCGGAGAGAGACGTGGATACTGAGGTTTGCGTGCGATAAAGGATCGCATTTACAGATAGAACAGGCTATTGTCCAAGTTTTCGATTCTACGCGGTGAAATTTTTTGAAAAAAAACGTTGTTCCTAGCTCCTTGGAGTTCGTACTTTGAATATCTCACTGTTCTTCCAAGTTTCTACTTCATTGAAAATTATATGTAAAATTTACAAAGCCATAAAAACATATATTTCACTTTTATCAGATCAGTCGTGACCTTTTTATTGGTTCCTCCGAGTTCTCTTCCGAGCTATATTTAAATTATTATGGTCCACACTTTATCAATCAACATTGCGGCATACATTACTGACAGCGATATTTGAGGTATTAATCAACCTCATACCTTCAATTTTTTAACGATTTTTCAATTTGATTTATAATCGTATAATTCAGAAAATAGATTTGTTAATGTACAAATTCAAGTTTGTCGTTTAATTGGGATTGTCTCACTCTATAGGATTATATCACGTCAGGCTTCGTCAGTCGGATAAACATGAGAGATTGTGGATTATTACTCCAAGATGCTAGACAGCTCGTGAAAATGTATCGAGCCAAAAGAAACTATGAAAAACTCGAAATTATCTCCGGCAGACGCTCTTAATTACCATACAAAGTCCACTTCGCAATTCTATCTCTACAAAGATGAATATCCCATGGCTGTGTTTTAATGTGCACTTATTTTTTGCCACTTTGTACTTATCTCGCATGTCTACTGGCCCTGATTCTACTTATCTCAAAAGAAATTGTTCTTGTCTAATCTAATTCTACTTATTTTTACACAAATAATTCGATCACTTAGGTACGTTTAAATAGAATGTTCCGAAAGAGAAAATAACAAATCAATACAATTTTCTTGTGTTTATTTGTATAAAAATGAATTTCTTTGCAATACAGCATACATCTTTTGAAATGTACTCTTACAATTAAAGGAAATAGAGTTATATATATGTAAATATTATAAATAACCGAGGCGCACTGTAAAAGCTAAATATATTCAAAGATCTATGCAAATTAAAATTTTACCGAAGCGTGTTATGTTTTTTGAAAATCTAAAGTATAAGCTAAAATCTCGCAAGTAAAATTAATATTGTGTGTATCACTGTACGCTTAATTTACATTGATAATGTTATGGAGTGATACTTTTCCAGATACTTTTACCCATCGTTTCAGTCTTTTCAATGAAAAGCTGTCAACGTATACGTTGTAAAAATATAAAAGGGATGAAGCTCCTCTCGCTCATGATGGCGTTATATGACGTTAGATGTTACTTTGTTCAAGATGTAGGATATGATATCTGGTACAGTATTTGACAGCCAACGAGATATTACACACAGAAAAAATTATAAATATAATTTTTAAATATTTCATTCATGACAACAAGAAAACATAATGTAACATTTCAATAAATGCATTGTAACAGCCACAATCAGAAAATCAATTTTCATAACTTTAAATAATAAATTAATTTAATGCAAAATAATGGAAGTTTTATAGTAGTTTTTAATGTTTTAATTTTGTGCAAAAAGTTCTACAACTTATACAAATCTATATACTTCGCACATCTAATAAAACAACTATATTTGTCGGATAATTACAAAAATATTCACCTGATAATCAGATAAAAGTCATTGAAAATAGCAGTCTGCCCCATTTGATTCAGAATTCAACGCAGTTAATATCGTGGTACTTAATTTGAACATGATATACGAAAGTTCGCTAAAATATATAAGAGAGGCCGTTGGTTTATCACGTGTAACACGGGAATCTTTTCTTATTCAATATGTGCGCAAGTATGAGAGCGATGGTGCACATATCTATTTTAATGGTTTGAAAACACACAGCATCCGACATCTCCCCATCCATAGGCGTACGTCCCTAGGATATATCTCTTACATTTACTAATTTGCATTTACACGTAAACCGCAACATAAATTCCGTAAAAATGTTATTTGAAAAATGCTTATGTAAATCATATGTTTTATTACGGGTTTTACATTTGATTTTTATTATAATTGTCCTGGAGATAGACAGTGGCAAACATATTATATGCTTATGTTAATAATCAATATTCTCTCTCGAATATTTTATTATTCTTATTCTATAAAAATGCAATATAATAATTTGTATTCCTAATGCTAAATATTTTATTATTAATAATAACTAAAAAATAATATTTATATAAGTCTTATATACGGACATGTATGCGATTTAATAGTAAAACATGAGTAAGAAACAAGCTCTCTCTCTCTCTCTCTCTCTCTCTCTCTCTCTCTCTCTCTCTCTCTCTCTCTCTCTCTCTCCTCCCCCTTCTTTCTTGGACAGTACAGGCGCCCTTGCACAGCAATGATACTCCATGTGTACTTACATGGTGGTTATTGACCCACACTAAGAGTCAATAAGAAGTCATTAGCTCCATTTACGCCGTTAGGTGCTCATTTGCGAGCAATTTAAGGAAGTATCAAAATACCGTCCTCGCATGACGATTGATTAGAGTTATATGATTATGTAATTAATTCCCACACGCGACTAATCGAACTGTAAAGAGGTAACAAAGTAATTGAACTTTCTCACCAAAGTTTTATAAGCAAAGCTCAAGAAGAATACAACTTAAGATCAATTAAGTATTGATAGAATAGTAATAATGTTCTAGAATAATAAGTTATTAATGCGTTAATATGATTATATAATATAATGCGAGTACGTACTTACTTTTTACGCGTAAAGTTTTATGTAATTATTAATAGCAGTTATCAGTAATTTGTTCTACATGTAACGATAACTTTGCGACACAGTGATCTAAGTCCATATATTTCTTAAAATATTCTATCAACAATCAACAAACGTTTTTAATAATGACGTGCGCTACTGCGTATTTTTACAAAAATCTTAATCTTTTAATGCCGCAATTATTGATTACAAGCGTGTAAACATGTACTTACATATATTTTCTTAAATGTAGATTGCATGTGATATCATTAATAACTGTGATATCTGATAAAGCGTGTTATATGGCTGTCACAAAGTGGAACGGAATCATTGTTCTTGTTCACAATGAAAATGACACGTATAAAATATACTGTATACTTACCTTTTAAATTTCCTTATTGCTTTCAAGTGTGATGTAAAGAATCGATATATTAGTGTCTTAATGAAACATATTTTTAACGCGTTTAATTGATGCATTTAAAACGTTAAAATAAGAGTAGAAAAGAATTTAGAATGTCTAATTAGCAAAAAATCTGCCGAGTTAATACAGTGTCTAGTTGCATCAAAGTAAAGGTACAAAATTTTACTTTTTTATTCACATAATTAAACATGTTTATAAATCGAATGCATCCATATGGCAGTCTTGATTTTTCAGGAAGAAGACTCTCCATAAATAATGATATATTATAGATGTATGTATTAAAACACTTTCGCTTTGATCTACCAACCGTTAGAAATATTTAATACAGCATGCTAATAAACATTTGACATGCAACTCGCCAATAATAATGAATATATAGTGCACTTCCGACGTGGTGTAACTTGAAAATAATTCTCTTTCTCAAATCGCCGCACTTTTTCACCAAGCTGTCGAATTCTATATAACTGTGAACTACGTGAAAAATACAAATCATGAGCTCACGGATAATCCTGCCAGCATATCAATCAGACGATCCGTAAAGAAACAATACTATCGGATTGCAGCTGAGGCACTTTAACGCCACTTTCGTGGCATGAAGATAGAACGAAACGATTGTTATGGCCGACAGTTTCATCCTGCTCAACACAGGTTTGTAAAGTACTTGTCCTTTTATTACAAAGTGAAGTGGATCCGCATATCGAAACGCGAGGCATAGGGGGACTCTCTCGGGGATTTACTCTTTTATGTGTATATAATTATTTATATCATCAATTATAATGAATATATAGTTATGTACAATATTGAATCTCATTCTTTAACAATAACATCAACAACATGATTAAACAACGTTCCTCATTGGTACACAAATTGTAAATGTACAGATAAAAAAGCATTAGATGAGGTCAATGAGGTGGCGTACGCTCAGCGCGCCATTAATTCCCTCTTCTTTTTTTACATTTTTTTAAATCCCCATATATATACTTATATCTTGAACCACTTCGGGTTCTTTGTCCATTTTTTATGGGCTAATATATGTATACACACACGCACGCACACACACACACACACACACATATATGTATATATGTATATATATATGTATATATATGTATATACTTCGAAGTTTATACTTCGTTTAGATACACACGTTCCACATACACACAAATGCGTCAGATTTGATCCGCGTGACGCAACGAGAACATGACGGTTGATGATATCGATTGAATCGGTGCGTGATTTAATCTTTAAAGAGAGTGCATGAGTGATTCGCGACGCGCGACCGGCCAGCCGTAAATCTCTCGCACAATTTGCCAAATAATACAATTGATTTATTTTAAAATGACATCGCAAGAATTATCGTGTTTGCGCGGAAAACGTTTTTCCGCATCAATTCGTAATCGTCTGTATGTCAAAGAGATATAATAAATAGAAACATTGCCAGGAGTAAATCAACAGGCGTCTTTTCAATTTGTTATCTTTTTAACTCGGCTGCCCCGCACGACGCAAATCTCGACCAATCATCTAAAACTCTACACAAGGCTCCAACGAGTTTTCTTTTTTTGTCGCTTGATAGACGACTTCCACGAAATCTAACGCACGAATTTGTATTATTTTCGCATAGAATCGCATCAAGGCGAGACCGAGTCGCCGAAGTTCTTCCGAGGCTCACTCCGGCGCTCAAAACGCGAAGGACTCGCTCGTATTCTCATGGTTCACCGACAAACGTCCCTTCGTCAGAAACTCGAGGAAAGAAAAAGAAAACGCTAGACATTTGTTTAAGAATAAAAGCGATATGCTCGAGTCTGATACACGTGTATCAACCTCGATTTTTGTCTCACAGCTTTCTCCTAGCCAATTTTTCTGTCATTTATTTTGGGGCACCGATCATACTTTCTTCACGCGAGGAAAAAACAGTTTGCGACCTTACGAGAATGAAGAATTTCAGCATTCAATCTCACAATCCCTTGAAAGTTACAGCACGATCAAAAAATTTCCCAAGATTTGATATTTGTCTACGCAAAGCGCACTTGAAAAATAACTTTTATAATAAATTTAAAAAACATTTTTTTTATTTTGAGAAGAAATTATTGTCCTGTTCTAAATACCTAAATTTTAATTACAAAATAAATGTTAATAATTCTTTATTTATATATTACTATAAAAATTATCAAATTAATTTTAGATTTAAACTCTTACAATTTTAATCGTTAAAACTTCGTGAAATTAAAATTAAGAAATCCATTTACGAACGTTGAGGAATATTTTTCTCCTGAGTTTTATTTTTTCTTGTGTACTTGGCATTTTATAATCACCAAAACTTTCCTATCAAATTTCCGTAAGTCTGAAAAACATTTATTTGACTGATTTTTAAAACTTTATCGAAACAACTAAAAGATACAGAGTGAAGAATAAATTTATATTGACGAATTCTCCATTCTTTTCTTTCCTTTCGCAAACTCTTTCTTATTCTTTCACCTTCTGTTACTACGGTTGAACGTTCCAATCTCATGATCTCGAATCTCGATTTGAGATGGGCGGCTGGGAGAAAGAGGAAAGACAAAGACACACGGAATTTGATCGCTGCGAAAATAGAATGTCTACTTATGCGAGTACAGTTTCTCGTACAAGAGTTGAATCAGTTCGCAGTTGGAGACGTAATCCCGCAACCGTTGTCTTTCGATGTCGCAATAATTTAAGACAAATCTCAAGTCCTGTTGTTTCAAATAAACTTGAAATATTTTGAATATTGTATAGGCAAATTTTGTACCAAAACGCATGTGTATAATATACTTCATCATCGATTTGATTAGAAAATATTTGCTTTGTACAAATGAAACACTTGATGAAAGAGAAAATCCGAAACGTCTAACTGCAAGCCGAACTGAATTAACCAATGGAATTACAACCATATAGGGAACTAACAATTAATTTACATCTTTCTCCGACATATACTTTCTGAATATGCTACACACAATTCTATATTCTTTGAGTAAAATAATTTTTATCCCGTATCCAGAGATACATCGAAATTTTGAAATTTTGTAGCTGATTACTTGTATTCCAGCGGTTTGTTTCGTGGCTTTTCCTCGTTCATTCATCGCTCTTTCCAATATAATCTATGAAAGGTGGAATATCAACTTTGCAACTCAAAAGAACATCTCGTTTGACGAAAGTACACACGCCTCAAAAAGAGTTTTGCACCATTCGAGTTTCTAAATTTCTAAACTGTACATGTAATAATCCTCCGAATTGCACAATCGAGAAGATAATCCGTCAGGTGAGTTAATTAACAGCAACAAAAAAGATCGTTCCTCCTATCGCGGTGCGTGATTACCGCGTAACAGGTGGTGCAAAACTATATTTGGTTTGTGCTGACAACGAAGTATTATTTCCACAATGCGGCTTCGCGTAATAATCCGGCGACCGAGGTCAGACATTTCCAGTGATGAGATTTCTCGTGCGAACCGCGAGACTTGTACAACCCTGCGTGAACAACAACCCTCGGACTAGTTGCACCGACATCGTCCAGCGCTGAATACAATGAACTAAATTTTCTTCATCGCCGCGCGAATGTCTCGCTACTTTTTTTTTTACTATTCAATTGTTAAACCGTTTTTCCCCGGTTATTTGCGTTATCGGTGCTTGCGGAGGAGAACGATAACTCGCCGACCGGAAGTCAGCCCGTCCGGACTGTCAGTGCAGCTCAGCCCTGTGCGACCGGCGCTATGTGTCCTTTGTACTTGATAGGGTGCGTGTCCACTCGCGCGTCTCGCCTTGCTTGTCCTTTTTTCTTTTTTTTTCTTTTTTTGACGCACTCGAGCTATACATAGAAAGTTATGTACAACGATATTAACATGAACTGCAGTGGCAGTGAACAGTGCACGTGGATATTGCAGACAGCAGCAGCAGCAGCGGCAGCGGCAGCAGCAGCAGCAACAGCGGGTAGCGGCAGCGGCGGCGGCGGCAGCGGCGGCGGCGGCGGCGGCGGCGACGGCGGCGGCGGCGACGACGATGACGACGACGAAGACGACGACGACGACGACGATGACGACGACGACGACGAGGACGACGTCGGCGACGGCACGACGACGACCATGACGACAATTATACAAGATGTATGCGTAATACGAAACACGGCAGCGACTACCACAGCTAGTTTCTTAATCTGTCTGCTTCGCAATTCCCCGTTTTCTCTCTCTTCCTCTCTCGTCTACCGCTTACCTCCTCGGTTTACGGGCGTCCGAACTATCACGCGAGATCCCGTGGTGATCGGCGTCTCGCGGCGACCGATACGTGCGTTTATCGTCGTCACGATCTTTTTTTTCGCTTCTTCCTTCTTTTCCTCGTACATTCATCGCTCTTTCCAACTCTACGTTGCCACTTTCTCTCCGAAGAACTGTCCCACGCGTATGCTGTGCAATCTCCGATTTAATTCTCAACTTTGCGTGTATGTGCATGTATATATGTATATATGCATATATACGTATAGAGAGAAAGAGAGAGAAAGAGAAAGGAGAGAGAGAAAGAGAAGAGAGAAAGAGAGGCAAAGAGAGACAGAGATTTTTGTATGTGTATATGTAAGTACATGTATGTGAGTCGAATTGTGGAATTCGTGTGATTGCGCGCAAGTTACGATGTACCGTGCCTTATTCTCGTACGTGTTCGATCACATGTGCGTGTTTCTTTTCATGTATGAGCGAGAGGGTACGCGTTGCACGCGTGCACACGTATGCACGTGCAGTCGGGAGGAAGAGAAACGGAGAGACAGAGAGAAAGAGAGAGAGAGAGAGGCAGAGAGAATGCGTATGAAAGACAGAGAGAAGTATGTACATATGTGTGGGGTGTCCGTGTATGAGAGGAGAGATATAGAGTATTTGTGTATAGGTGTGTATCCGTGTATTTCTTTTACACATATGTATGTATTTTTTCTTCCTTTTTATATATATATATGTACGTCCGTATATATACACACGTGAGTTTCACAAAAATATATAAAAGAGAGAATGTCTATGTGTATACATATATATATGTGCATATATACCTATAATGTATATATACCCGATATATAGACGATTTATACTTAAAGTTGTGTGGAAAAGGGTTTTTTTTACCGTATTTTAATCTATATATATATGTATACGTATATATACATATATATATTAATATATATATATATATATATATAGAGCCTGTAGAAAGTACTTGATTGAGATTTTTTCTTCTTTTCGGTTTCATTAGTCGTAAAACAAGACACACGAGGTAAGGGTTGCGCGTAGTAGTCCGGCACCGTCCACGAGAGTCCGACGCGAGATCGGGACGAGAGGAGACTCCCGATGAGTGACACCGACATCGGGAGATCGTGTCCGGTTTGCTGCGCTTCTCCCCCTCCTCCCGTCGTCTCGTCGCCCTCTTACAGCACGTTGAACGACGGTGTTCGCTGGGTTTACGTATTATATACATTAACACGTGCCGGAAAAAAAAAGGGGGAAACCGGAGATTATACTTGTGACTGCGATTGTTCTTCCGTTCCACCGCGCAGGATACTGCAATTCCACAGCGCTCGTCGAGGCTAAGCCACGTGTTAGAACTTTAAGCTATGGTGTCCTTTCTCCCGTCCACCTTCCTCTTCCCTAGCCGCAAAGGATCGATAGGGGGGCTCGATAACACAGTGTTACGCTTTGCGAAATGTCTAATTCAGTCCTTATAGCGTCACCTTCGAACGAAGATGATTAGCTCGAATAAAGAAAGAGAGATGTGTAGCTACCCTCGGACCGCATAGCATCATGCCATTTTCCGTTGCCCCTTCCATTGTCCTCCTTAATCTCGCACATCCTTCCTCATCATCCTCCTCCTCGTTTTCTCGCTTCTCTACGATAACTCGTTCATTAGGCTTCTTTTCTCCCGAGTCCTCGTTCCGACGATCGAGCGCATCACTCTCGAGATATTCGATGACTCGGTGAAAACGACTTCCGTGCGGGGCGAACGAGGTAAAACTTTTTATAGGAGTGATCGAATCGGCGAATAAGCGTTGTTTGCTATGCACTTGTCGCTGTATGCATCGGTCAATCGAAGGAAATGGGTATGGGTTGCAATCCGCCTTTTGTGAACGATAACTCGCGATAACTCGTTGATAATGCGCGACATCAGACAGCGGTGTTCGTCGACGGAGACAGGACAGTTGTAGGGACGACGGACTGCACGATGGTTTCTAATGCATGATTAGATGTAAGAATATGGTCCATCGGTGAGGGCGCTACACAGCAACAATCAGGAGGAGTCGTCCTTGCCTCGGGCACCTCTGCTCGGCCTGTATTCAAGACCCGGGTCGAATTGCATCAGCACAAAAACCTGGCGAGTGAGAAGCAACAAATCGGTAAACGGATTCGGCTTGCCCGATGTAAATTGATATCGAGAGTGTGCACGATATTATACTGCGCAGCTAACTAATAATTAGTATAAATTGTTGTGTTACCAAAGTGTAGCGATAAAATATCATTATCAATCTTAAAAAATACGCAATGAGATGATCTGAAACGTGATACCTGATCTGTGGGCAATAATGTGAAGTCATCGGGTGGATTTGTGATCACGTATCGCTTGGAAGAGGCGTCGCACGACGAGCTAGTGTCTCGAAACCTAGAAGATTCGAATGAATGTCAGCGAATAAGAAGAACACGAGCTCATCTATATACACCAAGTGTAACTAATTGACTAATCAAAGTTGAGCTAAGTTAAGCTAAACTGAAGTAAACTAAGCTAAACTAAACTAAATGTATGTGGACCGTATGACGGACAACTAAATGCTAAATAAACAGTAAGATGACACAGAGACAGAGAGAGAGAGAGAGAGAGAGAGAGAGAGAGAGAGAGAGAGAGAGAGAGAGAGAAAGAAAGTAGTAAAATGATATTTTTTGGATGAGGGCAACTTACAACTCGTTGCTTTTCATTACTTTCTTTTTTATGATGCAAAAAACGCAAAGTGTAAAAGGTGTGCGGCAAAAAATCATAAGTCACATAGTAAGTACGTGAGTAGTAAAAGGTAATAAACGGCGGTACAATAATGGCAGCAATCGGAGTAGTCGCTGTTTTCGAACGGTAATATGTACAATGTATAGAAATATATATGTGCGTAGGGTAATCCAATAAATACCATCGAGAGAGGGAAAAAAGTCCGGTACCTGTACCTGTACAGACCAATGCACAGCATTCCGTACGACTTTAATGCTGCGACAAAGAGGTCACCGTACTTGCCTCCCTCGCCATACTGAGCCAATGGCCCGTCGTACAACGCGATCTGACCAACACGACACCGATCCCTATTAGCCAGGCTATCTGCCGTACTGTGAATCAGACAACATACCCGTCGTTTAACAGCGTTCCAAAATTCTCCAGGTCCAACAACGAGACATTACAACGAGATGGAGCGCGAGATTTTACCTGTACCCTCCCCTTAAGCCTGCCCCTTCAGCCAGGATCAGTTCCAACTCGGGCGTAGCTCCACCGGTGATCAGTGACCGGATCAGAGTCAGCGCATTTTGGTTGAAGTACGTCTGCAAAAATACGTAAAGTTTTCATCGTCATTCGTAGCGTCTGGAGAAACGAGAACGTCAATACGTAACAAATAAACAAGCCCTATGAAGTATGTTAACCGATATGTTTATGCACGGTAGGAAGATATATTTTTAATACTGACCGTTGACATGAGGGAATCCAATACGCTGACTGCAAAGGCAGTACCACAGGCGAAAGGTTGAGTGAGGTAGAGTTCCGTGTCTGGGTCATCGTCGTCGTCCTGGTCAAGGAACTGTACGTTGCTATCATTCACAAGCTCTGGAATAGCAAACGAAATAATTGTGAGCAGAAATAAGTACCTGTCTTTGATATTCAACATGCAAATATTCGTTAGAGATTCTAATCAAGAAATATAAAATAGCAACAATTTTTTACCAAAAACAATTTTTCCTTTGATACTATAATTCAAATGTTTAATTAATTATAACGAGCAGTTTAGCAGTCTTTATTTTTATTAGACGATATTGAACACGCACAAGTGTAATCCTGAAGGTTTGATAGGATCTTTCCCGTTACCTGTGATCATTGGCACATTCGCTCCATAAACGGATCCCCGTCGCTGCAAGACGATTGGGCTGCCAACTGCGGTCAAATTACCTTGTTCATTATCTGCTGTAATTTGCACTTTCAATTTAATAGTGTGGTTCTAACGGAGAAACCGAGAGCTCTCCGGTTTCCAACGAGCGTCAATGATAATACCGTACCTTGGCTAAGCACGCCGATTGTATCGTCGAAAGTCATGGCCTTGATATTGAGGGATGCAAGGATGGCCTCCTTGTCGGCGAGGGTGGGGTCATCATTGCTAGGCACTTTAGCCGACAGGATGCAACACATGTCGCACAGATTCACGTTAACGGCACGCAAATCGGCTCTACTTAATGGTGAACCCTGCGAAAAGTCATTCAAGCGAGATAAAAGCTGCGGAAACAGAATTTTCATCGCGAAATTATCTCTCATTACCCTCATTTCGCATGAGCAAATTCATACCGCGTTCAAGCGATTCTCGTGGCTTTTGTAAATGCTTTTATGTTTAAATTTAGCAACATTGGATACGAAAATTTTGTTTAACATGCACATTTTAATGACAATATACGGTAATATAACGTATACTAACACGATAATGTAAAGTATACATAAATCCCAAATTTATCGTGCATTCTTTTAAATAAATCCGATATAAGAAATACAATTGCATATAAATACGTTAGCTGTGCAATTTCCTCTTATCTCAAGTTAATAAAAAAACTATAAGAGTAATTAACAACAAATTATCCTATTTATATCAGAATTAAAATTAAGATTAAAATAACTTGTCAAGTTAAATTTGTTCAGTACGCGACAAACATTACATTTACATAATTATTTTTATCCAAGCTTTTTAACTTGTGACATAATCGTTTAAATATATAACAAAAATGACAAGTTGAGAAACTGTTGCAAACAATGTGATCTTCAATTAAATTTCATCAGAAAGATTTACTGTGTATTATAACTGTGAGTACCTCAACAAATCTAGGGCCGGAATAAAACAAACGTTTTATTGTGTAAATCTGAGACGTCCTGTATCATACGATAATAAAAAAACAGAATATCCGTGTTATCATACGGGATAATGCAATGCAAACGAAACAAGAGCAGCCTCCTCACATTTAGAACCGATATCTTCGGTAGATTCTGCAGCATCTTCCACTCGCGGCGTATGTAATCCACCGATCCAACTATCACTACGTGTTTAAGCTCGTGGTAATGAAAATTGGAAGCTCGTAATGGCATGACAAGGTTCCTCAGTCCGATGAGAGGCGAGTCGGGATCGGCGAACAGGCAGACGACGACGTGCCCGTTGAGAACTGTCATCGCCGCCTGATTACGATCCAGTATGCAGTCTTCGAGATTACGGGAGGGGCTCCAATGGAACATCCCCGTCGAGTCGTACTTCATCTCGGTCTTCTCGAAATCAAAATCTTTCGCTTGATCGTCAGCGATCCCGACCTGAAGACCGCCGTTGTTGTTAACGTTCGTGCCACCCGAGGCTCTGCTCGTTGGCCTGAAAAACATCAGTACGTTACGATTACACGAACGAAGTTATAAATATGACACGTATTCGTCAATGATAGCAATAATAATCTTACACTTATCGGTGGGAAAAGGTATCGGTAAAACATTGGTTAAACAAATATATCGATGAAAGAGTCATACTCGAAATTTGTCTTCAAGCTCTTGCGAAATTGATCAAAACCGCGAAGCCACACTTTCACATGCATTTCGTACGCATCATTTTCTGTCATCTAGTACTACTAGTGTTGTTACTTTATATCTCGAGTATAAATTAGACAAGTTACTTGAATGCAGCAAATACCAAAGAAAGAAAGACACAGAAGAAATCTCTAGGAATATTAAGCTCTCATACTGCATGCTTGTGAATACATTGTTCGAATGGTCAAGGTCTAAGCAGGATTGTCTTTATGAAATTAGCAATTTTTATTCAGAGTTGGTTAAAACATTACGAAGTCGATGTTCATTGCGTTTGCGCGCAAGTGTCTGTTTAAATGTATTTTAAGTATACTTTTGCGTCTCTTCCGGAATTAATACAACCCCGTGATTAATTCGAATTATCTGGAGCATGAGAAATGTCGGTCAACGCGATACTTTCCTTGAACATAATACGCGATTTTTCACGCATTCCGAACGAGATGTAAACGGCCATCAAAACCCGCATTTCCACATATGACACTCACGTATTTTTACGAGCGTCATTAATGCCAGTGGTGCATGTTTCCCGAGATTAAGTATCCTCGTAAAAATATTATGGACTTCTATACTTTTTGCAGTCACGCTATGCGACATGTAACTGCAATGTAGTACGCAACTTCGAAGACGTAAATATCACGTGGGATGGAAAATTTAACACGACGGAAGATACTACCCGCTTGCGGTTATTTATGCCCGCGGCTATCGTTAATAACTTATTTTCTTTCTCTTGTGAAACTAGAAATACAAAGATTAACTTATATGTTGATGTTGCACATCTAATTTGGCGGACTAATAATTGAATAGTTTCATCAAAAGGGTGTCAAATTATCTAATTAATCCTTTGGACAAATGATAACGAATTAACATTCATACATTTGACAAAAGTGGTAAGGCTGAGGAAACGTTGAAGAGACGAAAACTTAATTTTACAAAAAACATGAAACACATCGAAACGTATCACTACTGCCATCAGATTTGATTACGTCACGGTGATTGAGACCTAAATATTAAATAGAGCATACGTAGCATTCTTCTTTTTTGTTCGCGAAAAAGTGATGCGTATTGGTTTGAATAAACATTCTATTGTAGATTATATATCGAGAGTCGAGCATCGCTTGACGTGCAGGGAGCATGTTCATTCTTATTACACAACCGTGGGATAAAGCAGTCGTATAATCACGTCACAGTACAAGGTAGCGTTAACAACAGAAGCGTACATGAGCTTTTTGACTTCGTAGGCGAGATGGTAGCCAGCGTATGCGGACTCCTCTTGCGATCTGGAATCAGAAGGTTTGCGTAACGTTCTCTGGATCTGTTCTCAGATGACTCCACTTTCTCTCTCTCACTCTCTCACTCTCTGATATGGTCCAGTTGATGAAAAGTATAATGATGACAATGATGAGTGATTCCTCGGCAATTAAATCAAGACGATTGTTCAATTTAAATTATAAAAGGGATTATTGCGATAACGCGTCGCGCGAGAAAGTTGTGCGCGAAAAGGGTCCGGCTGCAAAGGTCCGAATCACGTTTGCGTTTATTGGCAAAAGGCATCAGATGCGCGTGATCTTGGAATAATAACAGAGAGAAATTGCAGAAACCAATCTAGCGGACGTGTAACAGGTTCATCAGAAAATGTCAACGACCACCTGTAGCCTGCAGTTACTCGCACCATCCGACAGCGTAGTGGTACAAGTGGCTGTCGCCCTCGCGCGATTTCTCCCGTGATTTATGCGAGCCGTTTATCGTTCAAGTTTGCGGCGCCCTTTGTCAACAATTGAACGAAACGATAGAAAGCCACCCAACTCTTTTGTTACCGATTAATATATGGATTCCGCATCTAGCATCTTTTTGTTACACAACACTGGAAACTACGATACGTTCTATCGGACTTATACGACCTTCCACGAAGAGAAGATTAACACTATTAGAAAACATAAGAAGTGATGTAGACGTTCAGGAGTCAGAGCTATTCGGTTTACACGTGAAATCGCAATCTCGCTAATATATAACTACTGAAATTATTCTCTCGATCGATAGATGTGTGATTCTGGATCGCATCGAAGATCCCTACCGAGAATCGGCACGTTAAACCTTGGCGGGTTATATGGCTCGTTCAACAGTTTTTAGGAACATGCTAGAAAACTGCTAATGCGGAGGTCGTTGATACATTAATGTGCAGATCATCCTAGTGCACTCGATCAGAGTAGGACGTTGTCTTATTAATGGATTAATATCGTTTAGCTGAAAAAAATACACGCACTTACAAAAGGAAAAAGAACTGAACGTTATAACAGGCGCATTTTTAAAACTGCACATTTTACTTTGTGATACATATAACCAGGTTATTCAAACTACGTTGCCAGTTCGTCAATTGCAGGGTATTGCAACATATTATTATATGTATGTACAGAAAAGTTTTCACACAGAACGGTTTGGCAAAATTCTGTCTTGCTTGCCGTCCAATTCTCTCTCAAATTCCGTTTACAATTTGAATAACCCCTGTACAGTACGCGTGAAAGAGTCGGTGTAACTCTAATCGTGCAGCTATCAGTAATACACATGTAAGCTTGTAATTGAGGTAAAATAATAAAATATAAATTAATCAATAACGTATGTGTTTACGACAGGACAGAGAAAGATTAAAGCGTACTTTAGGAAGATATTTACGTTCAAGCGACTCAGAGAAGAAAGCAATTCTCATTGTTTAGAAAATACGTGTCGGTATCAAATGTCGAGTGCACTGTAAGTCTCACCATAAAAAGCGATATAAAGAAAAATGTTGGAAAGACCGGGCATTGTTGTGGGGAGATCGCTTCTTGCCTTCTTATTGTTAATTCTCAGTAGCGAAATTCGCAGATGTTGCTTTGGTTGGGTGCAAAACAGGCGTATCATTGAGTACTCTGATCAGCGATGATCATGAATGAGGGTACGTCTTCTTATACATGACGGTGATGTAAGTGATCACATGTTTGGATGCGTATATGTCAGGTGATGATGAAGTTGTAATGCGCGCAACAGTTAAACAGGTACCTCTGATTATACGGCTGATTCGGGCTGGACAGACTGTCGTTCGTCGCTCGATTCACGTTCGGTTTCACCTTGTTGACCTGCTTCGTCGAATTTATCATGGTCATCCCGATGGAGTTTCGGTGATTTCTCATGGCTGCAACGTAAAAGGATTACTTATTAATGATTTTATTGCTGCCATAATAAATATTAGCGAATAGAAAGACACATTTCGTATCAAACAACAGCTTGTTGTTCAATTACAATTAATTATTGTAATTAGTTAACAATTATTTTCAAGTGATTAATTAGTAAATAAATGAAATTAATTAATATTACGCATTTCGTAACTGAGACTTACCATTCGGATCGTCTCGTTCGCGGCTGATTTCACCTAAAATGGATAGAACAGTGTTAATTCGAAATCTGAGCATCCTATTTACGGACGGTGAGCAAAGCAACAACGATTAAGACAACAGAGTCACACTGATCGTGACCTAACTCCCCCCATTACAGCGTATATTATTTCCGTGATGATGAACCTACAGCCCCATGCTTACAGGCGCGCATACTTCACCCAACACATGTATTATGCATGTGCCAAGAAAATCAGTAATCAATAGAAATGAGTAAATCAGAAATCCTTTAATGGCAAAGTTTCCAAACTGTTATAAAAATTTCTTTTTACCTTTCTCTAACAGAATATCGTAAATTACAACTGACTGTATTAGAAAATTGACCCTTTCTGTTGTTATTAAAATTTAATCATAATTTTAAATATCATGTAAACTACTTCAATTCAAGATTTTGTTGCTATACATTTCTTACAAATTCGCAAATGTACAAGAGAAAAAAATATAAATTTGTTATAAATTCAATTTTGAAGAAAAGGTTGAGTAATTGTTTCCAAAAGTATATTACTTTTCTTAAAGTGTAAAATCAATGACAGAGAAAAAATGTATTCATTATATAGGTAAAAGCAATATCTGCTTCAGAGATAATTGCAAGTTACTACAGCGCTAGGAAAATTAACGAGGGACAACATATGGCGCCTGTCGCGGTAGTTTCTTGAACAACCATTTTCTGCAATGATGAAACAAAATTATAAAGTGGATGATGTACACACATATTCGCCAACAAACACAGATGTTAGCAAACTAAAACTTCCATATATTAGAAACCATTAATCTACCGTGCTGTGTATACAACTATAAATCCATCTTCACAAAGTTGAAAGCAACAAGATACTATCGATTTGAAAAGCGCGTTTCACAAAGTCAACGATTCAATGGAACAGACATTCTAAATGTATGAGAGAAAAAATTTCTATTTACGATACACAAAATTTAAAGGGAGAAATTAATTTAGCAAAAATTACTTGAGCTAAAGTAACGTTTCTCAGACTTGTGTTGTCAAAAGGTGATTCGATAAAGTAGCGTCTAATTTATATCATCTAAATGTCACGTTATAGGAGAGGAGAATTCTATTTATTGGAGTGGAAGAGAGGAGGACATTTTTTAACACATTTACGTTTACATTTAATTCTCAAATTGACGTGAAAGTATGAGAAACATTTGCGTGATCAGAAACAATTTACTACTTATGCAGACGAGCACCAATAGATATTCCGAGCATTTTAATTACGCGAATATAATTACGCCATTTATATTTATTTTCAACAACTTTGACATTATTACTTTATATTTAGAAAGATTCTTTAATATCGCACCTTCGAAAATTTTTCGAATTTACAAAATAATTAATTTACACTGCAAAACATATTATGCAATAATTGTTAGTTGAGAAACAATTGTGGGTAACATATTACGGAAAATTGCCTGTTCATTCGCTTTTTCGTAAAGACGCTTTTAAAAAATGATACGCACGTTTCGTCGCAGGATATGTAACTCTACTTAAAAGAAAACCAGTAGGTCAGTAAACAACTACATTTTATTCATCAAAATTTGTGAAATAGAAGTACTTTACGAATCTATAGTAAAGCAAAATGAATAAATAAACAAGTTTTAAAGAGGCTAATGCTATTGCAACTATACTAAAATTGTGTTCTGTGCAAACTAATTCAGTGAACTTCCGTTAATTTGAAAATATAAAATTAAATTGTCTGATTTCTTATAAATCATAGAAGGTAGGATATAATTTTATCTGAATAATAAAGACACTTCCAAATAAAATAGTCATTAAAGTAACATGACATAAATTTATAACCTTAAATGTACACTACGCTATAAATAAAATGACGGAAAAGTATAAACAGGTATCGAATCTAATAAACAACTTCATGCAATGCTGTCAATAATGGAGAAAGTAGTACACACGAGAGCGGTGCATTAGCAAGCACAATCATGATTAGAACAATAGGCTTCGTTATTCATCAGTTTCTTAGTTTCACTTTCTCCAATGTTTCAGCAACACAAAATTTGCGCGTTCAATAAAAAGGAAAAAGATCTGAATCAAATACGACGTATCAAGAACCTATCGCTCAAGCGAATTTGACGAAGCGTATCAGATTTCCGATGTCGGTCGGGAGCAGTGATTCTTTTTAGGATCGTTAAATCTGCTTATTGTCAAACAACCTCTCGTTAGTGTGTTCGTGTCGTATTGCCAATCGAAATTAGAAAGGGCAGCTTGCGAGACTGTAGCATGGTTTTTGATTGAGGTGTAACTGTACCTCTTACGTGAACCATCTTGGGCAGTTCTGGCGGAGTGAATGTGGGGGGAGGATGGTGGTCGTCTGTAACAAACCACTACACATGTTAGCTACCCTAACTAATTACCTAAGGCCTAGTCGCTACTCTATCGTTGGACAGTACTAAATCTGCGCTATAACTTCTAGAAGCGAAGTTCCGTTTCAGCGTCGCACGATAATACTGATAATTCGGAAGCCACGTCAGAAAGATTTTATTTAATACTTACAAAGCAAAAATTGCAAGAATAATCTTTCCTTACCTTGCGCTAAAATCTAGGAAGATAACGAGGTACAGAAATATTAAGATTTCATCATCATATGTACGTAAGCCATTGACAAAAAATTTACTTATACAGATATTAATATATATGATATATAATAATAATTAAATGTGGGACATGACGTTTATCAAGCTGAAACGGCCTTTCAGTATTGCACTAAGAAAAAAGGAGATCGTAAAGAAAATAATCACTAAACTTGTATAGAGACAAGTGCGTAATTTCGACAGCTAACAGTATGGTTCGTGACAACGTGGACGAGTTAAAGATTCAAGTCGAACAGCATTTTATGAGCATCTTAATATTAAAAGTGACTCGTCCATATTGCGGGAACGTTATTACAACGTGGTACTAAAATCGACCTACGATCATAAACGTGCAGTGTGCCCAAAACATTCCTAATTCATGCTGAAGATGACGCGAGCGGAGAAGATGCGATCGATGTCGAGCCACTTGCGAACGTGGCAAGGTTTGCTTATTTCTGATCAACGTGCAGAAATAAAAACGAACCGTCTCGTCCCCGCTCACGTCAATAATATTATATCGTGTCCTAAAGCATGCAATAATATAGCCTTACAGAGTGAATATTTACTCGGCATTGTCAGTGCGCGCTTTGCATCCTCCGGGAAAGAGAATTCACGTGCAAAACGACAAAGACTTTGCGAAAGCTCGGGAGAAATTGAAAGAGTGCATGAGAGATCATAGAGCTTGTCTACTGAAAGCGCAAGGAGAATTCTCTTTTTGGATTCCGACGTGAACTCGCCGTCTGCGGGACGGGACGTAATGCGCCGACCTGCGTTTCTATTTGCAATTATCGACATTATCTCGAGGCCGACGGTGTGAGACGAGCGAGAATAGACCATAATTCGTGCGAGATTCCCCTTTACGCACTTACTCGAGGCCTCGTCGAGCGAAACGACGCTACACTAATTAGGAACCGTAGACATCGCGGCCGTCTTTGCTTTGGAAAATCAAAGTTGGTCCACTTCAACACGTTCCTTCCGAGGAAACGTTCCCAGAAATTGCGCCAAGTTTAATTCCCTGCTTTGTAAAACGCGGAATTGCAGAACTTGCTCGCTTTCTTCCAAGAAAGCGCGAGAAGATATAAACGGAGACTAATAAGCAAATGATTAAAGTTGACAAATCGAGTTGCTCGATGAGATACACTGCGCTTGAAATAACGTTAGAGAGAATATATTTTCATATCTTTAAGTGCGAAACGTAAAGGAACCAAATCTCAAAAGTGTTTTTCACTGCTAAACATCGTGGCACACGGTCTTAAATTGACACGCAATCTTTTCCCATTAAATTGAATCTACTTTCACTTGACTTGAAGTCGATGTAATATCTATATTTTTTTTAATTTTACTTTTAAGGGAACATAGAAAATGTTGCTCGTGTTCGACGATGCAATAGACTTGGTCTCGTCAACTTGTCGATCCGTCTCTGACAATGAACCGTTTGCCTGTCAGATCAGGCTGGAAAATGAGGGACAGGCGGGATGTTCGAGTAAATGTGCAAAAGGTCACACGCGACGAATGTCCGCGTTTTATTAGACCCTACGAGCGCGTGGCACAACGCGTGTGCGCGCGTGATTTAAATCGCGCTTTCTCGCGAGCGCGTCCGCGGCCGCGGGGGAGATTGTATACGTGAAATTAAATAATATATACAGGAGAAATGCATAAATATATAAATGTCAATATACATCCGCGTTTCTCGCTGGACTTACTTGCGTACGAGGGGTCTTCACCTATGCGGAGTGATGGAGGAGACGAGGAGAGAAGATAGATTCGGACAGATAGACACATATAGAGAGTTAGTTAAAGAGTCTTTGCTTGCGGATCTCGTGTTCTGTCGTGAGCCCGTGCGCGCGCGTGTGTTTCATTATTTCTCGCGTGTAGATTACGTATGTATGCGTGTACGTGTGAGTGTGTGAATGTGTACGTGTGTGAGTGTGTATGCGTGTGTACTTTGACATTTAATGCAATTGCGCGTGTTTCGCCACGTGTTACGCACGAGTCGTAAAATGAGTGTACATCTGCGTGGCTCGAATGGACGATGAAAAGTGCGAGTGTGTGGATATTTGCGTTAATTAATTGAACGTCTGTCGCGCTTCTCTATACGCGCGCATCGCTCACGTGTAACACGTCTATCTAACATCGTGAAGATGTGGTGCTCAGCCGGCAAACACCGATCTGCTTCCGAAAGAGAGGGAGAGGAAAAAAAATAGTATGGCAATCGGAGAAACGAGCGGTCGTTCCATTGATCCCCGCGCCGCTGGCGGGTTAAACTATCCGCGAGCTGTTGCTCCGATGGCCAACAAGTTTTTGGTCATGGCGCAGAACACTCGTTGACGTTTCGTGCGCGACAGTGCGTTATTGCCGTCAATCAAGAGCGACCGTTCAACTGACCGTTAATAAAGTGAACGGGTATCGGCGGTGCTAAGCAATATATCAGCGTATGACGTTGGCTCAAAGAGTGTTCTGCGAGCTTTGAAAAACACACAGGTATAACTCCATATCCAGCGGTAACACTCATGTGTTGATCGCGAAAAACATTTATGACGTCGAGAATATGTGAAGAATACCGAAGTGAATATCAGACTACAACGACGTTAGTTCTCTTCGGTATCAACGATCGTTGCCTCCGCCACAGGACGAGTAAAAATCCACGTAATAAAGGGCTAATTCTAAAGTATCTCTAATTACACGCCGAATTGTTAGATATCGAACACCGATGCAAGGCTGACTGGAGGTACTTTGATACTTCAAGGCAATCGCATCACGCCGGTTCCCGATTGCGTTAATTTCATAATTCACTCACAACAATAACCATTGAGTAACACTGACAAACTTTCAGGAAAACTACATTCAAAACGACACTGATAGTAGTATAATCTCAGTTGCAAAATAGTTAAGAACACCACACCAATAGGGACTCAAACACTAACGATGTTCTACGCTGGAGCCATTTATCAATCCGAACGAACTTTGGGAGATTAGCACAACGACATTAATTTTGCTGCGAAAACTTATCGCGAAATTATGTAGACCAAGCAAAGATGGAGTGAATATCTCGTGATAGGCATGAACATTTCTGTGACACGTTTCGCACGTTGTGCTAGTCTTGTTGAACATGTAAATGGTAATCTTGTTGTTCGGTAATCTTTCGTTTATAACCACGTTGAAATTTATCGATAAAATAGGCCTTGACGAGCAATTTATTCGATAGAAACAAAATTTATTTAATAGAAAGATCAATAACACATGTAATTAAATTTACCATTGATTCATCGTATAGCATAAATACGATTGTAAATGTCAAGATTTATGTTATATCTATATTAGGTCCTCGTAATCGTCAAGACCTCGAATCAAGGTAGAGTGACTTCAAATTACGTTTCCGGATTAGAAAATTTTGCCGTTTGCGTAATCCATCAAACAAACGATATAATTATACAAAATCGCATATGAGACCATTTATTTATTTACCATAATTTATTTAAACATGGCCTCCGAATCGATCTTTTTTGACGTGAAAGATAATAATCCGATAGCATTAAAACGCAGTTCCCAATATTGACATGACAAAACGTTATTATTGTAAAATTGCAGATTTACATTGTTTAGATGCTTTAATAGATGTCACAAATTCCTTACTTTCATTACTACGAAATAATTACAGCGTCTTGTACTACGGATGTTAGCATTTATATCAAGGTACGTACCCTTTGTACGTCATATAAAAAGAGGAAAGTTGTTTTTACTCGTACACATCACATATAACTAATTAGGATTATAACTTTGTCATGACGTTGTTTTTTTTCGAGTCAAAGGCCATGCTACTCCGTCAGAATAATATATATATATATTATAATTTCTTTTTATTTTCACAATCACACCCCGTTCGACGAATTTACTTAAAAAAAATGTCCGTACTTCCGGGATTAAGATAAAAGAATGACGTTCGATACACAGTCTACACACGGGGGATACGTACTTGCTCTTCCAACCATCTGAACAGCTCGCACGCCTTTCCGGAATGTGGCCACTGCCCGAAGGGAGGAGAACCAGAGCTGTTAGTTGTCACAACCAAAACAATGTCAACCTAGATGCGGGGGTCTCAACGGGTGTGGGGTCTAAATCCGTGGTCCCGATCGATATGTCACGTTTAGTGCGATTTATCAGGATCGGGATATCAGAAATTTCCGTATTTTCTCTCTGTCGACTCGACGTTATTCTTTTCGATTAAATTCAACTTTAAAACGATACGAGTGATTTCGCAAATTACCTTGGACTTTAATCTCAATAAGGAATTGGATCTCGAAACAAAGATTTTAAATCGAGTGTATTACTAATTTGTCCAAGTCACAAATATATTCCAACTCTTTGGCGAAAACGTCGTTGCAGCTTACTGTAACGTGACCTTCGATGGAGAGAGTCATTATTAACATTGGTGTTACAACCATTGCATAGTTTACTTCGGCCTACTGTGAGGGTCGCAACACATAGAGATTATAATATGTATATCTGCGCTGTGCGGTTGAACCTAGTATATTCGGGAATACGTATTGAACAAAAAAAGAAAGAAAGAAATATTTCCTCAGAAGTCAATATCGGTTGCAGAGTGTCGGCGTTATTGTCGTGATGTTGGTGAGTGGTGTCAAATATGCTCGATATGTGAAGGGGGAAATGGAGTATTTTTAGCCGATGTATTCGATAAACCCTGGGCATCGATTATCATCGTCCCTGTAAGCTGTTTAAGCTCATGGTTCAAGCTTACGTCTTGGTGCTCTTTCTGGTTGCGTGCCGAATCCAATTAGTCAACCCGCACTCAGCGACATTGAAAGTATACCACGGAAACGGAATTTCACGTGCACGAGCAGATCAATATCATACTTAATAACGCTCTATAGTCTTTCTTGGCTATTGAAACATTTTAGAAATAAGAAAAACGGAACGTATCATTTGTAACATACTTGAAATACCTCTTAAATAACATTGCTGTGCTTAAAAATTAAAAATTTGGTAGAAAATATACATGGAGTTCAACATGTTCCGTTAATTAAATGCAATATTTGTAAACGCATGTTTGAACGATCGCACGAGACTCTCAAGACGAGCATCTGTAACCATACTTTAATTTTGTAATCAATTTCACAATTAGCATGTTGAATTTAGATCAGAGTCAACACAGAAATTAATTAGCACAAAAATTGCTGCAATAAAAATTTCATCTCGCAATGATTAATTATACAATTTTTCATGTAAATATTGGGCAATAAAAAAACGTTTTTCGCGAAAGTCGATAATACTAAAGAAAATGTATATTTACTGATGTGCTCATAATGATATTCATAGTTAATCGTTAATTTCCAAATTCAAAAGTGCATAGCCTTATGATATGATTTTTAGGGTCACAACTTTCACGAAAAGCGTTTGATCTGTGCAGAAACAATGCAAACTTTTACATATTGGACGTATACAAGGTGACCCAAGGTAATAATGTTACTTGCGCTCAATTATATACATATAAATATATATTATACTAATAATGTACGAAAGAAACGTGCATTTTTTTATACATTGTTTAACATTGGGTAACCTTATATATAAAAAGACATCCCAGTTCCAAATCGTCACGTTTATTGTCGCAACAATCGAAGCGAGAAGGGAAATTGTACGCGTGGTACGTGAAATGAAATTGCGTGACAATATCTGGAACTGGTGAAACGTATGAATTACCAATAAATGTCCACGTAAGCACACTGAAACAACAGTTAAGAAACGATAATCGTTAGCAAGCCTGAAATACAACGTATGAGCAAACTTTGGTCGACTGGTGTTAGGTGGCAGCCATTTAACGTGAAGACACAAAATATACGACCCGGCAACGTGCAAGAATGCGTTTTCTGCGCGAAAGCGGCCATTGTATCGCGCTTGTGACGAATGAAGCTAAACATAATATGCAATAGTTAATTGATCTTTGCGACGTATTGGCCATCCGTTCGTCCAACCGGCGTGCTTGTTACTTGTCGGCCCCGGCCCACGTGTCGAAGTAGGAGAAGAAGCGGCGGACAATGTTAGTGCTACGTAACGTAACTGTATGCTACTGTTAGAGGGCGATGCCTCGGTAACTCGCTCAATGCCATCAGCTCTAGCGAAAGCCCAACGATAAACAGTACGCGGATCGTATGGATCCGAGTGGGAGAGAGTATCGTATAATACGGGGTACTGTGGAGTAAGTGCACGTGGTAAGTGAGACGGTAATTGGTCCGTCGGTTTTGGCTGTTGTACGTTCAATATCACTTACGCCATCTTACCTCATTACACAATCAGGCCCAGCCTGATTCTGCCGGACGCCGGAAACCTGTCTTTAACGTCGAATCGTTACGCGACTATTTTATTTATTGCGAACGCGATCTCCCGATACGCGGATATGTGAAACGGCACGCCGGGTCCGGCAGAATGCATTTTGCCAGGATAATGAACGTGGATCGAATGCGACGATTAAAAGTGTCCATTTTGAGGGATCTTTGTTTTTTTTAAACTTAATATTATTAATCAGAAACGGCCGACCCACGTGCTTTACGCTGACAAATTCTCACAGAAGCTGCGACAGGTGGACACGCGTACACGGGATACAAAAAGGATGGAAGAGGAAGCCGGCAACAGGCGTACCGTCGAGGTAACTGCTGTAGGCAGTGTTTCCCTTCACCATGCCAGTCTGCATCATCATCATCCCCACATCTGCAAAAATCCAGCGATCGACCCGGACACGGGTTCGTGAGTTATGAACAAAATGAGACAGACACATGGTATATACACGGGAGAAAATCGTGAACAGCACTTTGTTTTTCCTTTCTCTCTTTTTTTTTGGTTTTTAGTAACGTATAGCTTTTGTGGAATTCGTATGTGCACGCACGCGCGAGCAGAATGAATCGTGCGTGTGTCAATGTATGCGAACGCTGACTGCAATCCAGATGCCGGAAGGTGTTACTTAGGCAGAGATTTGACGAATAAGATCAATTTCGTTCGTAGTACTGCAACGTGATGGTCGTATGAGAAACAATACCGACGATAATCAAGCAAAGAGAATTACCGCGACTCCGCGTCGGTCCACGTACGAATTCGGTAACACGTTAGTCACAATGTTCATGTTCAGTCACAAATAAGGGTACATCCAAGATACGCAACGCTGGAAAAGTAATAGAAAATAAGCTCGTTCGTCGGGCAACGGTTACCTGTCCTCGTCACCACCGAAATTCTTTTTGCAAACCTAAAAATTAACGTTGATCGAAGATTGCGGGTCGCCCGGTGCTCGAGTCGAGGCACCGGGAACGTTGATTGCCCAGGGTTTAGGGTGTTAACGTTCCTGTATATGGACAAGACTGATCGTATGACCGGTTAAGCGTAAGTCGCTACCGGAAGGGAGACTCGTGTGGATGTGGTCGTGTACGTGGTCGTGTGTACGAGTGTACGCCTGATGCGGTATGTCACGTGTGACATGGATGGAATTGTCGGACGGGGACGACTCGTGGCCTACCCCGTGCCTGAGCGATACCGACACCGGGGATCTCGTCGCTCGTGGGGAACGGATGGGTATGCTCCTGCCATCGGCGCACCACCGGTCGGCGGTCCAATTTCACCGGGCGATTCAAGAACGAGAAACGTTCGGCGAACGTGAGAACGCGCGTGAATGCGGTGGAAGACGCGCGGCTCGATCGGGCCGATCGATCGACGAAATGGTCTCATTGATAGTACAGCTAGCACACGTTGAAAGAGAGAGAGAGAGAGAGAGAGAGAAAGAGAGAGAGAGAGATAGAGATAGAGAGAGAGAAAGGGAGAGCGAGAGAAAAGGGGAAAAGAAAGAGAAAGAGAGAGGAAGAGAGCTGGCAGACGATCGAAGAAGACAGTTTTTTTTGAAGAAAGAAGAAAATGGAGACAGCAAGAGAAAGAGAGAGGGGTGGGGTGAAGACAGACAGTGATCGAGAGAGAAGCTGTCATTACCATTATGGTGAAAACAGGTCCAAATCCGGGAGCTAGTCATGCATGCAAGGCGAGCGAGAGGGGCACACACTAGTAGTGCAGGCTAGTTTTCGTTCTCGGTCAGGTGGACATGCGCCAACTGACTGGACTTTCGGGAATTACTGTGTTCGAACTCGGTACTTCATTTATTTTTCACGTCATTTCTCGCGATTGGAGAGCGAGCATAGAGGCTTTCCCGGAATGAAATAAATTCATCATGCTCGTCGCTGCGTGGCGCACAAAACCGCGATATTTGACCTATTCCTATGTAGGCGCGCAATGAATTTTCCATCTACTTCGCTGTAAAATATGTTCCGCTCTCGCGGTAGCTTCCGCTATTGGTAGCAAATTGCGAAAATCGTCGCGCACCGATGAATCTTCTCCAAAAAGATAGAAAAATAAAAAGAATAATGAAAGACGTGACGGTGAAAAACGAAGAAGTACCCGAATATAGCATCGCCTTGGGGATTGTGTCTTGCAATGAAGATTAAAAATGCAATCATCGTTGTGCTGATCATCATCGTCATTATGATCATTATCCTCATAATCATCACCTTGGCTTGCAAGAGATCGATTAATGTGGAGGCAATATATGTATCGATAGGACACACAGAGAGAGAGAGAGAGAGAGAGAGAGAGAGAGAGAGAGAGAGAGAGAGAGAGAGAGAGAAAGAGAAAGAGATAGACGGAGAAATACAGATAAAGAGAAAAAATGAAAGAGAAAGGTAAAGAGAGGCAGAAAAAGAGAAACAGAGAGGGGGCGGGGAGCGATGAAGAATGAGAGTAACTTAATAGAAAGACAAAATATATATATATATATCGCAAGGCGCGGAGCAGAGTTTTAGTACAGAGGCAGAAACAGTAGAGACAGTACAATCAAGTTAATGTTTGGCGAATGGTGGGGTTGGAGATCAAGAGCTAGATCGTATATAAAAGGGCAAGAAGATTAAAAAATAAGATTAAGAGATAGTCATAGAGATGATAGTAAAGTATCAGACTTAACGAACGAGCGTGAGAGACGTTACCTAAGTCCCGGCCCCAGGAGCGCTGCTGCTGCCCCACTAGATCATATATCACAATAGGATAGTCACAACCATGTCACTTCGTTAATAGTCGCATTTATTACTGTTATCGCGCTCTCAGACAAGGGCAAGGGGCAAAGAGGGTGAGCCGGCAGAAACCGGGGTGAGCGTGGGAGGGTGGGAAGGGAGAGATAAAGAGAGCTTCCTATGTCATCCGTTTGCATTTATACGTTACTTTACGTCGAGACGTTATAATTTTGCGAGTCACATCAAAGGCACGCTCTATCAATATCGACTGACAGAGAGAGCGAGAATGAACGATAGATAGGTAGAGAGAGAGAGAGATAGAAAGAGAACGAGGAGAGATACCGCGTGTGAGACTCGCAATCTCTATCGATAGATCGAGCGCGTTCTATGTACAAAATACATCTGTGTACAGTTCATATGTTAGATATAGACATATGTATATATATAATAATATATATTTGGCAGAGAGAAGACCGGATGTCATTTAGCAGAAAATTTGGCAAAAATCGAGAAAGGCTGTTTAAAGGATCACTGGGCTAGAAAGACTTACAATTTTTGCACTTGCACTTCTTGATCAGAGTCTCGTCTTTAATCTCGTCGTGGCATGCTTTGCAATAGAACCACGCCCTGGAAATGAAAGCATAAGAGAGACATAATTATTGTTTGTATGAATTATAGAAGGATATCGGTTGAGTGTTCATATCTACTAGGGAAAAAATGATGACAAAATAAGAAAGTACAAAAAGTGGTTGTACAAGTGAAATTTATGAAATATTCCAACAATAATAGAAAAGAGGCTATAAACATATCGTACCAAATCTTGTAATACATTGCAAAAAATTGCAAAACACTCTAATTGTAAGATGTTGCATAAATTATTGTTTTATATTAACTAAATGTGTAGTCTTAATTAGTAGCTCGAACCTTTTTAGCTTGCGTTGAATATTACCTTATCTAGATAATTAGTAATTTTAACGAAATTTCTACTTAACAAAATTAAGCAAGGATATGGGTTACCATATTTAAATAAGCTTCCGCTTTTAACGATGTTCCGGAATATTCGAGGGTTCTTACCGCTTAACTTCGTCAGCAGATTGAGCAATGAAGAATCCCTGAGTATTTGCAGCGATCTTGGCACCACGTGGGTTAATCGAGATTTTACTGTCGGAGCCTCCTGCTTCGCCTTTTATCTCGATGGCCAGCAGCAAAAGCTTCAGTTTCGTGAAGCACAACCTACGACGAAATCATGCGTAATATTCGATGTCTCGCAATTAAATATCGAGGTAACAAAAAGCTTAAATGTATTTTGCTGTGTTTTTATGCGATACATTTATGAACGTGGACAACATTTTACACAAGAAAGTAGCCAACAAGCGACCCAAAATACCGCAAAGCTATTATCAATGATAATGAGTTGTTTGAATAAGTATAATAATGTGCAATAATATTTAAATAGCGTTCCTTATAATGTAAACGTTTTTACAGCAATAATGTCGACATAATAATTACAAAATATCTTTAACCAAATAGAACATCTTAGAAATAGACAGTCGAAAACAACTCAATATCGTCTGTGTTAGGCAAACAATGAAACTTGAATTCGTAGAAAAACTCCTATTGCGAAACTATTTTTGTTTTACAATTAGTTTTATCATAAAACAAACATTGTATAAAAATTTATCCTATAATATAATTACTCTAGCAATTTTATAGTATAACTGTTATATATTTATATTTGCATACGAACGCAAGCTTTATTCTTTGCACGACAAGATTTATTAAATAAATGTAGCATAAAGTATTACCAAATTGTACTTGTATATTTAAAATGCATAATACGAAACATGATAAAACTATATTTATTTTTAAGATATACATTTTGTTATCTAAAACAATATTTTATTTCACAGCCTAAAGAAAATAATGTAGAAATAAAACTTTATTTAATGTTCATTCTTTCATCTGATATCTTATATTGTACAATACAATAATTTAATAATATATAAATATGTAAGTTTTTATACTTTATGCGCTTCGTTCACTGATTAATAAGTGTTAGAAAGATATGTGTATACACCCACAGCGTAACGGGATACTGATCGTGCAGAGACAAGTTTCGTTTCAACTATCAAAGCATTTAAATTTACAGCGTTCGTTTATTTAAAAAAATTAAGCCTCACTTATACCTGCATGTATCATCGTCCCGTTATACCACCTCGGCGATAACTGAACATTAAACAATCGTGCAATCGATGCAACATGTATTGATGAATTAATCCAGGCGATCATGCAGGAAAATCTTACATAAACGATTATTACTTATCTAATAATATGAGTCGAAACATGCCAAGATAGATCGAGAGTTTCTACATAGATTCCACCCTTTATAAACTATCTATTACGTTCTAAGTTCCTAATCTACTTCAAAGTTTCGGGAGGCATTCGGGATGTCCGGTCTCATCCGCGTAAGGATCGAACGGATTGGCTAATGTTCGGGAAGCATTACATGTATACAATATGATCGTATACAATATACGGCATATAAAACGATAATAAAGATAATAATATTCAGAGTAAAAACCGCTTCTTACAAGAATAGATCTCTCACACACACAAACCAAATGATGACGATAATCCAAGGGTGCGCATAAACCAAAAAAGAAAACTCCGAAGAATCATAGCTCTCTGTCGCGCAACTGACGTAGCAATTCACTGATTTCTGGAGAATATTGTTGTGCCGGTAATAGGAATCTTCTATAATTTTCTTTTAATGTTACGTTCCTGAGAGATATTCACTATCTTGTTTAAGCGATTGCACAGTAGCGAAAATATTATATATAGAGAGTTGCCACTAGCTGTCACAATTTCTCAGTATAAGAGCTCGAAATATTTCTTTAATTGATCATCAAGTACAAATTGAAATGTCAAATTAAAGTCTGTCCAAAATTAATGAACGTTAACATAAAGAAATTCAATTCGTGAAAATCTAAATTTATAAAATAACTCATAACTCGATAACTATCGCTACTGTCATATTTTTGCAGATAAAAGTGCTGGCGATTTGCCGGTGTTAACTGTGTCATATTAAAATTAGAAGAATGGGAAATCACAGAAATCAGTGATGCAATCTTAGTAGGCAGATACGGTGCAATTCAGACGGCTGAGAAAGGGTAGTAAACGACGCGTTTATTTCATCCTCAGGAATTTCATGCTTTTGACCATTTATTTTATCTATTTATCGATATGTATTACCACGCGACATATATAATATTTATTTAATTCAGTTAATTTAAACTCATTTAATTTGATGCAGGGCAATATATTACATATTCTTACCATGCTATATATTGTTTTTATTGTTATAGTATATCTTATTTCCACCATAAGAGTACGCATAACGATACAAAAAGAACACGTACTGGTTTTCGTAAAGACAAATAATTCTTTGAATTTGTTTTCATATATAGTGACTTGCAACGAGAAAATAAAATAATGTAAGAATTACAAGATACATTTTTGACATATTTTCTACGCTGATTCGATACTTAATGTACGTATTTCATCATGATTTTCGCTTTTGTTGAATAAAAGCTGAGTAAGCCTGCGAAAAAAAAAATATAAACTACCTTTTATGCAAAGTACGGATAACACGTCTTACGTGCACCATTTGTACCGTGATTATTATATGATCACCATTTTACTAATTCCGAGTGACTAATTGCAAGTGGCTATATAAATATAACACTTTAGTTGACTTTTACTGTATATATGCGTGTGTATGTGTGCGTGTCAAAGAGTATCCAGCAAACCGATATCTGCGGAATATAGAATTAGTGTTTGTAGGAGGAACGGTATCTCCCGTAAGTTACCCCGAGAATTTTCGCGAAAACAGAACTGCGAGCTCGATTAAAGTCTGTTAACGAACAGTGTGTACTAATACATATTTATGTCTAATCGGCAGCCACGATCGATATCTGTACACTTCTCCAATAACTTGTGTCAATGTGTTACGAGAATAAGTTCCACATATTTTTACATGGTAAAGAGCAGCAGGCATGCGTGTACAAAGAACGCGCTTTTGTTAAGATAAGATTAGAACGCTACATCTAAGAACACACACCATGACAAGGATACGGACATTACCGACAAAAAAAAGGACAAAAATCTCGCTCCCGTTACGTTATGTCCAAAAGTGTTCGTATAAAATCCAAAAAGAAAACGATTTCTCCGCCGAGGGTTCCCTTTTTCCCCAGTAAAAACAGAATTACGCCGTTTCGCCATTTCGGAAGGAGGTCACGGTACGCGCGCGCTTCTTTCTCATTTCGTCTCACGTTGCGCCGCAAAAAAAAAAACTGTGATATTGCCGAAGCGGGATGCACGATTTACCGGGACGAATGCGGATCTTGCGAGCGATTCTTGCAGCTAGTTAAGATTTATTAGAAATGGCCGCTGGTCACGTTATGCACGCGACACGATACTTAAGCTCGCCGATCTAAGATTAAGAACATTCAAGGCCGCCATTCAAGTAATTTTCGTGACATTAAATGTCACGAAAATGAACATTCCATGTACTTGGTCTTAGACTTTAATAATCTCTGCAATGGCCTCTACGCAATGATGGAATAATCTTCAAACAGACAACTAATTCAATGCAAAAGACAATAAAGAGAGATTCTTTAGAAGACGCAAGAAAAGAAATTGTGCATTTTACGTAAACGAATGAAAATATCAAAAGGATTGAGCAATACCCAACCTTCAATCCCGATATTAATTGTTTCTCGCAAAAGTGTTGGAACATACAAGAATTCCATTGCGTCTCTGGCGGTCTCGACGCGAACGCTATACGCGACAGGGACATTTTTAGAATCGCGACCGTTCGTACGCGCGCCGGTGCTTCCAGGAATTTCCGAATTCGAGTGTGGGTTTGAGACACTTTCGTTTCCGCACGGGAAATAGTGCCGATACTCCCCTGTTGCCAATCAGGCATTCCAATTAGACCGAGCACGACCGGCCCCGGCAATCACCTGGCAAGCGAAATCCGCATTCGTCCCTGGTACGTCTCTCTACTCTTCATTTCTACGCAATTCACAAAGATCTGTGCAGAATTTCGAGCAGCTCGAAAACGAAAATCAAAACCGATCGGAAGAATGGGAGGGGCACGGCCGAACAGAGGCAAAAAGACGAAAAAGAAAGGGGGAAACAAGGGAGAGAATAGATTCGTACAGCTCAAAACAGGACTACTCTACGCAAAATCCAAACAAAAGGATGTAGACAAAAAGACGAATATAGTAAAGTCTAGTAAAGAAAATCGTTCAAAGGCTAAGAGACCGAGGTGAGGGGCGATATATATAAATATATATATTATATATGTATATAAATGTTCTGAAGTATAAATATATATGTGGCAATATATGTACGTCTCGGTATTGGGGCAGTTCAGCGTGTTTATTCGTGAGACGAGAGATAAATAGAGATAAGACAAAGAGATAAATAGAGAAAGAGAGAGAGAGAGAAAGAGAAAGAGAAAGAGATAGAAAAGAAAGAAATTCGTAAAACCGAGTGTACGGAACATCTTTGTATATTTGCACTTTCTCTTCTTTCTTTTCGTATATGAATGTTGCATGGCGGTCCGTATGATTGTCAATTCTGTATACGTGTTGTGTCGCGTGTATCTGTTCACGGCACGTTTACGTGTGTGACAGCCGTTAGCAGCGAGGACTTACTCGCTGGCTTGGGGAAATGTCATCCCGGTAAAGGACGGGGAGAGGGTTTCCGTGTACATCTCGCAGCCCGTGCCCTGCAGGTAATCATTCTGCCACGCCTGTGTGTCCGGCGACTGAAACACCAACCAACCAGGCCCCACGTCATCAAACTTTCATGATCCACGTCGCGTGCGGACGCGCGGCGGAAGGGCATCAGCTACGCGTGCGAGCTGCCGCCCTTCCCCGGAGGGAGAGAACTGGAATGGCTATACATTTCGTATATCGTTTCGCAAACCGATGGGACCGCGAGTCGTCCGATCGACGCGTCTGTCTGAAAGAATTTAGGTACCTACGGGGAGCGGCAGCGTCTAAATCTTACTCCTTGAACTCTGCGAGCTCTGTAAAGAAAGGTCTGGTTACGGTCCGGTTCTCCGGCAGGGGTTTGGAGACAACCCCTAAGTCTTGCTCTCCCGACAGCACGAAGGTGTAAAAGACATCCGCGTCTAACCGACAGGGACGTCTCTCCGGGCGTTTTTACGACGTAATGATTCTCTTTTATACGTTTGTGTTGCCGGAGGAGCCCGTTTGCGACCTAGACCAGAATGTAGGCCAGGACACGCTCGGGATGCCGATCCCGAGGCGACGCGATCCGCGGTCGCGTCGACGCACGGCGACCGTGCACGATGATGCATTTCGCAATTATGGCGACCGACCGGGGTGAGAGTTATTATCACCGTCACCGGGACGAACGAGCGCCGTTAACGATCAAATTCCAGAGGCCGTAATTCCGGGGGCGAGCACGCGCACACACTCACACTCACTCAGACACGTATATGCATACTCGGGAGCGCGTGGAGCGCTTCATCTCTTCCAAATTCTCTGTCCCACCCCACCTATCAATCTCGGCAATTCGTCGATTGATCGAGACCTGACCGTTTCTCACGGTTTCCTTCCACTGGCTACGCTTGCACGTCGCCAATTACGTTGATCTCTTGGTATAGCGTACATAGTACGAGTCTAAAGTCCGCAAAGAGTGCTCTTTCATTGATACGAACGACGACGAGGACACATCTTCTCGATCTACTTCTCGAGCTAACATTTTTCTGTCGTGGTAGGAGGAGACGATGGTGGTTTTCAGAGTTCTAGATTCGTGGTACAATATTTTTACTGCGGTGTTTATTCTTCCGAAACCAATCTGCCGGTAGTTTTGCAAAAACGAGTGACACGGCGAGCGCTTTTGTCGAAGAAACTGATAGCTTTTGAAAAATATTTGTCTTCTATTTGACTCTTCCATTTGACTTCTCGAAAAGCATTTTCCAAGGGAGATTTCACACTTTCATCTCTTTATCTTTCCGAAATAGCTATGCGCAACCGAAAATCCGGGATTATACGCTCGTGCGTGGGAAATGTCTTCCTTGGGCAACCAGCGCAAACGGTAAACACGTTGTTGCAGCACCGGCACCAAAACTTGGATCAAAGGATTGCTTTATGAATCTAGCAACTCCACCGCTGACGAGATAGAGGATTCGACCGCTATATTTACCCGCCCGCCGCTATAGTAGTTTTACGACAAAGTCTCCAGCCTGATCTGGTTTTAGAAACTCTATATCAAGAATCGGTTCAAAGGCTTCGTATGCTCTACGATTCCACACTGCCTCTGTAACGTACGAGGTCGAGACCGTGTCGTCGCCAGTCGTTCCTTCTTCCGTTTGCTTCCTCCGTTAATTAATGTTATTGTTTACAAGTTCTTCAAAGTTACATGTATATATCAATTGCAGAGAGGGGTGAAAATAACAGGTACGTTACTGAAGCGATGAAGGGGTGGTTTACATCGATTAGGTGTAGCACAGATATGGTTTTGTACAATATAGTAGACACGTTCATGTATCATGTTGTAATATACACACATATGTCTATATATATGCGCGGAGGCTCGCGCGCTCCGTTGTATATGTGTGTATTTACGTATATATGTATATATATACGTTTACGTTTATAGCGGAGTGGAGCGTAGTGAGAGACATAGGCGAGGCGAAGCTTCATCCCTTTCGTTTTTTTTTTCCTTCCGATTCAAGAGACCACGGACCTTCCCCGAGCCGACTTTGTCGTCGTATTAACATGATCGCGAAACGGACCTGCGAAATATGGACGGCGGCGATTTTCGCAAGCAAGTCTCACTACTCAAAGGAATTCTTCGCTCGAGTATCCCTCGAGATTCCATCTGGATGAGCTATGCGCGGTGAAACCCGGAAGAGTTTCGTTCGTATCTCGCAGCAACGAGTAGAAGAGCCATCCATTTTCCATGAACTTTTTACACGACCGCAGAGGAACTTACGTCAAGAATAAGTGGAATTATTTCAACTTACAATTAGTAATTGAAGCTCACAAGTTTCACGTTTATTTACTCTGTAATTGCGGTTTTTAAAATAACTTGTTTCCCTCTCTCCAACAATTTTGCTATAGATTTTATTTGACAACTTCAACTGGCATTTACGTTGAGATCGGTAGCAGAGAATAAATTTTATGTACAATATCATTTCTGGAAATATTATATGTTTATATATAAATGATCAGAAAGTTGTTTATTGTGTCAATACACTGTATTTCAGTCTGTAAAATTTATTCTGATAAAAATTCGAACCGTCCTATAAATTTGTCGCTATTTCTTCGACTCATGTGACTGCGAGGAGAGATATTACCGCTTCGATGTCACTACGATAATCGGGCAAAAATATCTTTCCTTTAATTACTTAATCATGACCGGAGAGACGAAGCAACAAAATCCAATATAAGATGATAAGAGGATTCAGTTTGCGAAACTATCTTATCTAAGTTTCTAATTTTGAGTCCCTCTGCGGCATAAAAGCGCAACGTGCAACGCAAAAAGTCCATAAAAATAGCGAGAGATCAGGTCCCCTGCTTTTCCCCGTTAGACGACAAAATCGATCGCTACGCCACGTGTTTGCTGCGTCACTGGCTGAAGAAGCATGAATTAAAAATAATCACACGCGCGCCACAACACCATTACTGATACGGAATTAGCGTTTGTATCGACGGTTCCGTACGTTTCCCGTGGCGGCTTATCTCGCGGCCGCGCAACGAGAAAGAAACGGACATCACTATGATGAAGCGAGGGAGCACAGGGGGGTAGCGGATACAGCGTAGACGCGAGATCAAACACGGTGGGCAATCAGCGATGGCGATCGGACGAAAGATCGCTCCCGATTCAACGTGGTCCCGTCTCTTGAATCAGACGTAATGCGCGTGTCTGCTGGATGCTGGGTTGGTCCGTGGACCGACTTACTCAGTGGCTTTCGCAAAGGGCATTCCAATGAAGGTAGGGCTCAGTGTCTCGGTGTACATCTCCATTCCGGTTCCACGCAGGTAGTCATTCTGCCAAGCCTGCATATCGGGCGACTGGTACCAATCAACCAACCATTTCTAAATCACACACGCTCCTATGCATGTACGGATTGTGCGCGTATGTCCACAGTGAGGTGCTCGTGCCCGACTAACTTCCGGTTGTGACGCGGCGCGACGCGACGTGACGTGACGCGGATCTCAAGTCGCTTCCGCGACTCGCGTGACGGCGCGACAGCGCGCAAATGAGTTAACGATTTGCGAACCACGATCGGGTAGGAGTCATCGGGAATAATTAACTTTTCAATGATGAGTTTGTGCGCGCAAACGCGAGTGATCGCGGGATTGATCACCGATTTCGCGAAAAGGAAAGAGCTTTTTCTTTACGCACGCGATCACTGTGAACAGTCCGATCGTAACAAAAGGACCTATAAGAATGGCGTTCACACATGCATAGACTTGACGGCAGGTTTACTGCCGGAGAACGACGTTTTACTGACCGTCTTAAAGGAACGCATCGCGAAGAGATTGGCCATCATTGTGCTGAATCCAGGCGCGAGGCAGGACTGCGCGATGAAACCTAGTTTCAACTCCGCCAGGCATATAACGTCGTCACCCTGCTTCCAGTCCCACGATGGAATGTTTAGTAAGTAGGCCTGGAACACGATACGGTCAACGGGATAAGAGATAATCCTTAATAAAGACATATAATTGCAACGAAAAGAAAATCCGATTCTTGCCGCATGTGGCAGACTACATCGCACGTTTCAATCGAGTTTGGGAAAATTTAACGTCATCTTGTATCGTCGTTTTAAATAAATCGTATTTCGTTTCGAGTTAGATTTATCGCCGAGCTTCGATCGCTCGACAATGGTTACCTTGTTGTGATACTGCATTAATTGTATGATAACGCGAATGTCATCCGAGTAGTTCTTGATGGAGATGACGCGCATGATGTTCGCCGCGTCTTCCGCGTCCGGGTCCTGGCAGTACTTGTTCGCCAGCACCAAGCACGCGTCCGCCTCGTGTACCTAAAAAGCATTGAGATTATCCGTTTTGTGTCATCCGTTGCTTCGTTCTGTAATCGATTAATAGACTGGGAAGAATGTATATTGGGCAGGACGTTGGTCTCAAAGCGATAGCAAAATAGAATGGAAATTGCTCCGCGAGTATGTAACTCGAAACCAGTGTAATAAGTAATTTCGGAATTTCCAGTAGACAATATAATTACTCGTTTGCTATTAATATGTCCATTCTCTTAGTGGACAATACTCTTGCAAGTATCGCGGTACATATTTTCAAAGAAACATTTATCAAAAGTGCTTGGATTTTATGTTAATAGCCAACGGCATACGATACTATATTTTCCTACTGGATTGCTTACGAGAGCCAATCAGGATGCAGAATTTTAGATCAAGTGACTTAAGGCTGAATTCTGATTGGCTCTCGTAAGCAATCCAGTAGGAAAAATAGTATTCCGTGCCGTTGGCTTAAGATGCAGGTAAAATAAGATATTTTCTGTAGCTGATGTTTTTTATTTCCGTGAAGGAAAAACTACAACGCAAAATCTGAAAAGGATTTATGCTTTGTAGAAAGAAAACGTGATCGTATGTGTCAAATGTGATTTACAAAATTCGGTGCTGGTGATACGAAACTTGAAAATGATAAATACCTTGAAAAACCGATGACACTGAATGCCAATCAAATCAAATTTAATCCGAAATAATGCGTAACAACTTGATAAATAGTAGAGATAGTGAAGATATTAAATGAAATCGTTTCATCCGTTTGCAGAAACATTTGTGTAAACCGACTCGACATTTTATTGTTGTATATTTTATAGAAATATAATGGACTGCATTAACATGAATGTACTGTTTAAGCGCACTGCAAACAACTTATTTTTAAAATAAATGGTAACGTGTGATGAAGAATGGATTTATTACCAATAATGTTGAATGTAAAACATTCTGGAGCAATCGAAATAAACCACGAAATATGATTTCAAAGGCTGGCTTTCATCTAAAGAAAACGATATTCAGCGTATGGTGGAATTAGAAGAATATCGTGTATTACGAGCTTCAGCGGAATTAACGCTTAATTTTAACAAAGTGCTTAACTCAAAATTTGATTCTCTAGAAGCCCGCAACAATCACTTCAAACAGATTTTGAGGGAATTGAATTACAAAACTATTCAAAAAATGGCAGATTATAGATTAAAGTACACATTGTTCTATAAAGTTGTAACGATATAAAAATTTTATCGTTTTGTTAAGTAAAGAATGCCAAAATTACTTATTACACAATTTAAGAGAATGGAGCGGAAAAGATAAAACTATCGATTAATCAATAAAATTGTTATAATCAATAAAATTGCGTTCACTTAACAGCAAAGAGAAAAGCGACTGCTTGGAACGCGTCGCGATCGTCGAAATCAGCAAGTTATGTGTAAGCTGCTAAATCTACGGATTGTCGATCTACGATTGTATTATTTGAAGAATAGCGACTTCTTCTCATATTTGTATAGACATTTCTTTTCCAAATTAGAAGAAACTTTATATTACGGACACAGAGAGCATCGTTGAAAATACAACATATGAGATGGAAAACTCTTCGATATAAAAGGGAATACGTATCTACAATATAAAAGTTATATAAAAGCATTCAATAAGACAACAATGGCTACTTGATATCGAAGATTCGCACGGCCAGTAGGATTGATCGCTTCACAAAATTGATAAGAGAAGTCAAAGTTAATTGAATTGACGAAAATTTAGCATCAAGTCTGAATTTATTTGCTTCGTCCACTTGATTCAATTAGCAATTGTTATGCAAGTAACGTGTCTGATACTGTTTCAAGATTTAATCTCACGACTTACCACTGTCAATAACTGTTTACGCGTGACGAATTGTATCTGAGAGTTTACAATTTTTTAATTACGTGTAAGATGCACTCCAATTGAAACATAGAATCAAGAATATCTTTGACAGTGGAGAAATTTGTTACAGTACAATTTGCAACAGTGAAATTTGCAAAAGCAGCTAAACGTTAAGATGTTTCTGAAATCTTCTTCGTGCGCACCTTCGACGCAGCCGCACGATTCGAACAATGATCAAAAATATGAAAGCGAGCCTCTATGGCACATTCCTTGGATATGCAAACATCATCGATCATAGAGGGGGGGGGGGGGGGAGGTCAGTCGGTTCGTCTAGGTTCTATACATCTGAATAATGGAGAAGCGCCTCTATCTACATGCTAAATCTATCGGCTAACAAGATGTTGGCATTAACCTCGGTTGTGTAAAAAGAAACTACACAAACAGAGAACGTACCGTCCCGTCTTCGTCAGTGCAGGATCGATACACTTAACAGATACCACGATCGACTATTCCACCAGATACTAAGTCTCTAACAGAAACTACCGTCTGGAAAGTAATCGGCTGGTAAACCAGTCTCTCCGCGAGAAATACACGGGCACTTACCCACTCGGGTCGACAGCAGGCATGGGTCTATCCAGTGGATGCAATACAACCTTAAAGGGACTTTTCTCACGTGGGTATGCATAAAAGTGTGTCTCCGTGTGTATACGTGTCTATGTGCGGGAGAAATTGACGTTGCTTTCCTCTCGGATTTGCTGCCGGGTATGTATTGATAGAGAAAGGGGATGAGATAGACGGAAAAAGATGGATAGATTGATAGACAGATAGATTATTAGACCGGGACGACGTTATTGAGGCGAATACATGGAGCCGAATATCGGGTTTTTTTGATCGTGGGCGCTCTCAGGTCCGCGTCCGATTGTTTTATATAAAATCTCGCAGATAATTGATCGAATCCGAGACCAGCTGTCGCAAATTGACGAGACACGAAAGCGGACGGCAGTATACGAAGACGCGCCGGTGGGATATCGTGGTGTAACATCGTCAATGTGTACGAGCATAAAGGGAAACATACAGGCAACAAACATCCTGGAACAATAGCGTTTGTTATCTGCACAACGTCATTTCCCGAACGTCTACCGATCGCCCACGGTAGCAGCTGTAACATCGCTACTTTCACGCCATCGATTTTTCCAACAGACCACGCGAACGACGAATTGCAGTCTATATCACGGTCTACAAATGTCGTTTAAAGCTTTTACGAATTTAGACATACATGTGAAACGGAGACGACACACGTTTAAATATTTGTGCCAATAGAAGTACTCAGAATTTCGACTAAACAGTTTTCCCAATTAGAATATACGCATTACACGCCAAGCTCGAAGAAACTCTCTCGTAAAATAGTAATAGAACAAAGAACGATTAACCTAGATTAATACAATGGCATTTAGAACATTCTGAATTGATTGAAACAAGAGTGCCAAGTGTTAATTACGTGGCAATAAAGCGCTGGTACCGTGCGCGCCTAGATATGACGAGCTGATCACAGGACGTCAAACATAAAGAAGGAAAGTAGAAATAGTAAGAGTAAAGAGTGGGGGCCGTCATATGTAACAGGATAGAACTGTTTATAAAGTTATTATATATAATATATGGGGGTTTAATGCTCATATCTCTTGTATCAAGGACGCAGATTGTTCGATCGTGGTAACAAACTCACCTTAACCCGCTGTAGGTCAATCGGGTTCATGATGGTCCCCTGAAAGAACTCCACGGTGGTGAAGTGCCGCTTGAACAGTCCTTCCAGTTCGAGATCAGGCGGTTTCCTGAACGGATCCGACAAAATGATATGATTCCTTTTATAAATAACGTTCACCTCAGCTGACGACGGTCGCGTCCTTTTTTGCGAGAATATCATCGAGCAGTAGGCCGACAGAGGAGTCGGCGAAGGTTTCATTAGAACGTGAATGAGTAATACAAATTCGTCGTGCGTGCTCGCGACTTTTGAGGGTAAGCCATATACATATTTCGGTGTCTACGATTCGTTTCAATGATTCTCGTTCTAATCGAGCCGAATGCACAGTAAATTCATCAAATTGTACGGGCTCATCCTCTCAAAGGGCACGAGTACGTTATATGTATAATAATATCTAAGTAAAGTCTCTACTGCAGCTGAGTCGGCTCCATAGCTCAATACAGCATACCATGCAGTCGCAGGCGGTTGCTTTCTACGTAAATATATATATATGTACGTATATATAGATATGTACGTATGTATATCTTTCGCCGTCCGGTGCCGCGTCGTTTTTGCATTCACAAGATATGAAAGCGTCATATTATGCGAGCGTATTGCGAACTTCAGTACAGCAAACTTGAACAATCGTCCAAATCTCGCGCGGAAAACCGCGCCGGAAAACGAGCGCCGACGACGCGGACCGTCGGCGTTTCCAAATCATGCCGCACCGGACGTTTTGATAGTTCATGAAAAAAAGAAGAGAGAGAGAGAGAGAAAGAGAGCGAAAATCGAAAGAGAAAGAGAATAAATCTAAAGAACGTAGCGAGCATTCGGTGTGATCCGCGGGCGTATGCGTACGCACGAATCACCTGATACGAGAGATTCTATAAGAAGTAACGATAGCGATTATATATATATATCAACATGAGACTGCATGACGTGTGACATAAATATATATGTATGTAAATATAGATAATATATATATGCATAAGAGATACATAAGTATATATATATATCGATCGACCATCACGGCGTGTTATACCCAGGCGAATAACCGTGTAATAACCTAAAGAACTGCAAGGAAACAAGAAGCACGAGCGGCCACGTGGAGGGCATTGATGGAGGGTTGGTTGGTTGGTTGGTTGATGGAGGTTTTCGTGTGGTGGTTGTTCTAGGGTTCAGGGTACCTTGACGCGCTCCAGATCCACGGCATTCATCATGGTGCCCTGAAAAAACTCCACGGTCGTGTAATGCCTCTTCAGGAGACCCTCCAATTCGAGGTCCGGCTCTTTCCTGAAAAAAGGCAAACCACTCCTTACGACTGCAGCGATCAGACTACACCGGCGACCGTGGAACGCAGCCTTTTCACGTTATCCTTCACGTTACTGGATAATCCGATCTCTTGATAGAGAATCTTTGTTTGTAATTCGAAACCTCGCTAGAATAACCGAGTTTTTACGGTCGATAAAACGCGGGGGCTAATGGAGTCTGATCGCTTTAAGTCGCTTGGCGACGGAAAATCTCTCGAAGGGCGACATACTTACCACGAAGTCGCCAACACAGAAAATAAAATGTTACTTGGTATATGAGCGAAATGATGAAGAAATAAGTTAAAGATGACAGACTCGGGTCAGGTCGTTCTGATAACCACGAGTAACAGTTTTGTTGGTGTACAAATAATTGTGTATAAATAAACGATTGTATATTTTATTAGAATAAAACGCATAAAGTTTCTATTTCCTGTAAAACTATGAATAGAGTATATTGTGTTATCGTATGTCATGGAGCGTTGTAAAGTGACATCCGTTCGCACGCGCGTCAACTAACGACGCAAAATACTGGTTAATGATTTAAGATATGATTTGATACGTGAAATATAAACTTCATAAAATATATTCGCGCCAGGTAACCCTCTCGAGACTGTTCGTGGTATCGACCACGAGATACACGCTCCGGTGGTGTAATCGAAAAGGTTAAATGCCGCACTTGATAATGGCAAAAAAAAAATCAGTTTTACAGAAGCGCAACGGTCATACCTGTGCAAGAAGACAACTTCTACGTCGACGTCCTCGCGATCCTCGTGTAGGAAATCCTTGAGAAAGTGCGAGACCGATTCGTAGGTGATGTGGCCGCACACGACAATATGTCTGCCAACACAACGAGTAGATTAGATGACGTTCTCAAAGAGAATATTAGTGAATTACATAGGGAGAGAAAGGGAAATTCTCTCAAGCAACTACCATATACACTCTCTAACAATAAGTAATATATGTATGTCAACTACGGACCTAATTGAATAAGTTCTTCTCTCTCGCGTTACATTATTTATTCACCCTTTAATACGTCCTTTCCGCTGAATAAGCTTTTTCGAAACAAATGCAATTTATCGCGATGCCTCTCAATATATAATTATATATTTATATGTATGTGTACGTATATTATTTGTGAAGACATATATTTATTTATGAAAACAGATAAGTGATTATAAGCAAGAGCAGCGAAACAACGAGAAGGGAGAGAGAAAGAAAGAGAGAGAGAAGAACGTTGACGCTGGTGGAAAATTAGTTTTTTTTTCTTTTTCCTTTTCGTGCCATTTTAGTCTGCTGCCACAGTAAGATTAGACTTGCTCTTCGTTGAAAATGACTCTATTTGAGACTACTTATATGGATCAACGCGGTATGGCTTGAAAAGAAGAAATAAAACATAAATTTATAAATTATTCTTCAAAAATTATAATAATGATCCATCGCGAAATTGATAAACGAGCTCATTTCAAGAAACTTATTTGACCATAAAGCAATAAAAAATAATAAAATAAAAATTATTCGGCACTGGAGTAACGCGCGTTCTATTCGAAAGAGTAACGCGCATTGAAAATAAATAATAAGTCAGTAGGCTGAACTTACCAAGATTGCGCTAGGAATTGGAGTGATTCATTTTAACCAATTGACTATACACATACCTATGTGACAAGTTAGTAGCACTATATATACAATGTACATACACGGGTCAATGCTGATAAGTGTTGGATCAAATACGTACAAGTATCAAGCTCATTCACGTGTTAGTCGTCGCCATGTATGTCAAGAACAAAACTCTCTTCTACGTGTGTAATTTCTACGTGCTGTGTGTGTGTGTATGTCGATAGTAAGAATATATATATTCCTATTCCTAAGTGTCACATGACAGGTGAGACTACGTGGTGCCCAGAATCAGCGGACTTACAAAGGAAAGATAGCGGAGTTCGACCATATTCCATGCTTAATGTCATCTACTCGGTGATGTCTGACGTTCAGCTCCATCATGAACTCAGTAGCCTTCCCGTGTCGCGCGGGGACTCGTTTTACCACTTGCAATACCAAAGCGGCGTGTCTTTTTCACGCGTGGGCCGCGCGACCGGCGCTACTGGATTCAATGCGAGCCCGATAATACCCGGGATTACTAGTTACTTTTGCTCTAAACGTACGTAAGGGGGCCGACGCCGTGTGCGTGTCGAGATGTGGGCGTGTGTCATGGATATGAACTGTTGCAAGTCGTTTTGCGTGTGTCGAAATCGTTTGGAGATCAGGCGGGAGTAACGCGGATCTGCCGAAAACTGGACGCGCTCGTTGTATCTCGACTGCCCGCGTGAGGAAAACTGAGTCCCCGTGCGCGTTCGAACAACGACAGCCAGATTCCCGTGTCTTTTGTTGTGACGTAAGATTATTCACGTAAACGTGTCGGTCCGGTATCGGGGCATGCCCCTATGTACTTTAAGTGTTTAATTTAAGCCCGCTTGCAACGCCACTAGGTGAAGTTGATGCATTAGTATCTGATGACCAGTGTCAATGGGACGTCGATGAGAAACGGCGTGCAGCGCGGATGACACGCGCCGTGAAAGGTCGTTAAAAATGACAACGGTAATTTCCGCGAGGCATTTATCAACATGACAAAGCTCTTCTGGTTATTACTATTGTGCGATATACGCGTTATATCGTTCATCGGTTGTAGGCGCACGCATTTGGACTAGGTGCTCGAATGATGATGCGATCAGCAGCGTGTTATTGTCGTGTAGCTCCCTTCTCACGGAAGATCACAGCCACACTTGCGCTAGTTGTGAATGAACAGTTGAACCGAAAAAAAAAGCTCCGAGTTGCTCCCTGATCTAGAACAGTTGTTAATTTCGGCCCATCGAGGATGTCCTCAGCCAGAATCCCTGAGCTACGTATTGAGACCAGCAATCTCAATAATATACACATATTCACTTAAGCAGTATATCCTTCTCCATTTTCCCCTCTTTAAAATTTACGAATACGCAAAAATGATCATTAATACTGTCTAAAACACCAAGATTATTACACTGACGTGATACAACATTGGGTTATTATATTTATGTATGTATATATATATATAATATATGCATTCAATTGTTCGGATAATGCAGGGTACATGCTGGACGTTAACCCCTTGCACTCGGAGAGAAATACAGCTCGACATATCAAAGCGCGCGGTTCGGTTAACGATAATAATAAGACCGTTCGACCGCGGCGCTTCAACTGTATCGTATAATTAACCCAAGATTCATTATGCGAATTTCCGCGGCTTATTAGTGCGACGCACAACTGCGCCCGACTCAGCGCGATGTTGTCACATCCGTTTACAACAGATTACGTTATCTGTGTCGTCTCAATTTAGATTCCCTCGAGAACCCACGGTTCACGGCCGGCGCAATGATTGTGACGTTGATTAATTAAGCAGAAGCACTAAACAAACAAGTTGATCTAGACACGACGCATCTTGTTAAAATCCACTTAAGATCCGCGCGATTTATTCGCGAAACGAAAGCTGCAGAACGTTCGATGCGACATTTACAAGTAACTTTTAACGGAATAAATAATCCGAGATTTTTCAGCGAAGGAGCTCTTAGCTCGTGCTTTTTTCCCCCCGTCAATTTCCGTCTCGTTCTACGTTCTACGCTTTACGCGTGTATCTAGCCGTAACGAGCTGTATTTGTCCCAAATGCAAACGGTGTGAACAAACAAGCTAACACCAGTTGCTGAGTGTGGTGGGTCGGTCTGTGATGGCAGACGAGCTGGTCTATTGAGAAGGGAAGGTTTCATTGAGGTAGGCAGGAGTTCAGGAATGTTTTTCGGGTGGCGGCTGCACCGTGGCCGACTGACTAGTGCGATGAGTTGGTTACGGAACTGCGGTTTGGCGATGCTAACACACTGATCTCTAAATATATATATATATAGATTTATAAGAAAGGGATTTATCGGAATCGGGATTTTCTTGACGAGGATCGAGGCTCATACGTGCTTCTATTAGGAGATTGCATTCACTGGAGCGGAACCATGAGGGGCGGAGGGGGGGGGGGCAGGGGAAACCAGGAAAGAAACAGGAATGTCGTGTGTGTGCGCGCCCGTGTACGTGTGTCGAAAAGAGTGTAACAGAGGCGTAACAGATAGTTGCTGTGGGGTATGTGGGGAAATTACATTAGCTCTTCGTGTACGGGAGGATATCGTGGGCATGGTGGCAGTCGGGACTGGAGCTCAAATCGGGGAAGCTAATTGGTTGGTTGGTTGTGTCTCTCACCTGCGACCTCGCTCGTTCTTCAAAGTGCCGCCGTACTTGTTTCGCGTCCCGATCAGGTCAATTATCTCAGGGATACAACTGGCGAATATGGCCTACACCACGTAATAGAACAGAACATAACACTCGCATCAATACACTTGTGTGATAGGGCTGGTAATAGGTTGCTTTTGCATTTCTTTTTTTCTTTCTACATGTATTTCGTTCGGTTGGTCGGTCGATTGGTCGGTAGGTCGGTCGGTCGACTTTAATCTTTCCGACGTTGTGTCGCGATGTCGGGGTGGCTAGTAATCGTTATACATTATACAGTACGTTTATTTCACTTAAACGATGGGAAAACGAGGGAACGAGGGTATTTGCATTTATGAGCGAAATCAAATTTGGTTTTCGATTAGCGGATTGCGCGGCTGCTGATAGAGACACGTTTATCAGTACTGTATCGCTGTGTCTTCGAAAATTAGTGATGTGTTGGAAACGAAACACGTTTTCCAGATAAAAGGGCGGGGTAGAAAGACTACCTACACTTACAAGTCCTACACACCTACACCTAAGCCTAACAAGTACTACATGTGCCGACGCGACTACCTAACTGATAGATCTGTTCCTGTCCACGTTCTCCCGTAATGTAATTTCGTGCGCTCAATATGTTGTAACCACTCGTTGTTCTCATTAGAAAAACTAACGTCATTTTTGCGTCGCTATCGTATGATTCGATTAAGTCCTTCGTTCGTAAGTTTTCTTAAACAGATATCATAATTTGGATAAGAAATTAGCTCGTATGACAATTTTCTTAAAAGGAAACTTTTGGAGCTTTATTTGCGACATAAACGAGTATGTAGATATTAACACAAACCTCATAAATAAAGAATTTCGCGTGAGTATTAGGAAAATCAATTTTTTTGAAATAAATCCTTTGAACAGAAAAGTTAAGAAATTGCCAAGAGGAGCATTACAAACATTTTTCAGATACTTTACAATGTTTAGTTACATAGAATAACATCGAAAGCATTTATACGATTATGTAAAATCTTTATATTGTAATAATCTGATATAAAAAATTGTGACTGATATTCAAAATCAAAATCGCTTTGATTATGAATTATTTTCATCGTTCAGTCATGTCTTGTGTCAACCTAAATAAATCAATCGCTATATTTAGTCATAAATAATGAACTTAAGACTGCCACCGCAAAATTTGGTATAGGTACATACAATTATATCCCGAATTTGCATATATCGCCTTACAAATGCAACGGAATAAAGTGTCGAACTCTTATTAAAAATTTAGTTAGCGAGCGGTGTTAGCGTCTGGTTAATGTTAATCATCAAACTCATTCACACTAACTCACGATACAATCGACACAAGACATAATAAACGCAAGATTATTACATGTATGTATTTTTTTTACAAAGTCTCGAATAAAATATATGTACACCGTGTAATCACGATTAATAATGGATCAATGAAGCTATGCTACAGCACACAAATCAATTGTCGATCTCTTTCTTCCTCCTCTCGAAACGAACTTACGCGACACTCACTGTTCGCGCAACAATATCGGATATGATGTAAAGCTGTCCCTTTCGAGCGTACCCTGGAATACTGAAAGTTGAGCGACGTCCATCGTCGACAGACTGCTCAAAATTACATATAACATGTCACGCCGTATGCGTCAGATCTTTCTTTTTTCATCTTATTACCTTTTAAACTCGCATCACTGCCAAGTAGCAGACGGCAATGCCGTCGTTAGAAGTAAACGCCAATCGACAATCTGCCGAGGGAAATTTAATCGCCGAGAAACGGTGCGTCTGCGGCAACGAAGTCTGTGAGCGCGTAATTACAGTCATCATTGCGAACTTACAAACTAGAACGGCTGAACGGTTCTCGCCGAAAAGATGCGATCTCGCGGCGGTGTCCCTTGAGGTGTGAACCAGTGTCAGCTTATGTACGTGTATACTCTCATCTCGCGATTTGTGGCGACGCACGTTATCAGAAGGGTAATTTGCGACCGAGGCTGACCGAGAAATGACGTCCCGGGCGGGCGCATATCCCTTTCGTCGATCGCCGCGCATCAACGTTGTAATGCGTGTACAACACGCAGAACGTTCACCAACGCCCCGTACGTGTCTCCAGCCCTCCACCCCGCTGTCTCGGTATGCGCCTGCACATGTCGCGAATATGTTACCCGCGTGTCATATGGAATGATGTGAGGTATGCCCGATGTGGCCCCAAGTTAGACTACCTGTGTGTCTGCAACAGTGGGATCGTGGGTTGGCGCTTCGCGGCGAACGGCGGGGAAGACGAGACCGTAGATCCGATCAATTTTTCATTCGCGCGTCTCGGTCAAAAGGTCATAGACGCGCCATTCCGCCGCACATCCGCTCGATATTTTTACTGCGCCGGCGACAATAAAATCCGTTAACTCGGACAAGGTAGCATAATTGAGTCCACATGTATGCCGTCGTATCGCTCATATATTGTGTCGCTTCTGCGAGCGAGTCGAACCGACTTTAAAAATATCGAAAGTTACCAAGTTAGTTACATTACAGCGATAGGAATTGAAAGTTGAACATTTTCCTTCCTATTTCCCATATTACTATTAATATCCTATTATTATTATATTATTATAGCAACATCGTAGAGCGGTATAATCAAATGCTGTAATAAAATCGTACGCATTGCTTGTTAACTTTTCAAACTCCCGTTAAGTGACTTCGTGAGATTTCTTTTAATTCAATTCTCGAGAAGACGTACGATCGAATGTTTCGATTAATTGTATGTAATATTGTTAGGTTGCAAGTAGTACAAATCATCTTCGCCGGGTCACGTCGCTCAGCGCCGCGAGTGAATACAGCGTCGTGTGTCGCAATTAGACGTGCACAATTTCTACTGATAGAAACCCCTAAACAGAGCGGCCGGGTGTGGCTACGTCTGCACCTGCTACTGCGCTATTTTAAATGCCAAATACCGTGTGTATGTTTGTGTGTGTGTCAAGCCAAGAGGGAATCACGCGACTTAACCGGAGACGACCGCTCTCCTCGCTCGCGCATCGAACGAGAGAGGGTAGTTCTCCCTCTCTAAAGGCCATTCCGTACTGGGGGGTGGGGGGGGGTCGATCGTCTTTCGACAGTCTACAGACTAGTCAGAACACTATCGCATGCCACCAAGAAATTCAATGTGGAAGAGAGAGAGAGTGGAATAGACAGATATATAGATGGGTAAATAGATAGATAGGCAAAGAGAAGAAGAACGAGAGAGAGAGAGAGAGAGAAAGAGAGAGAAAAAGTAATAGAAGGAGAAAGAGAGAAAAGAGAGGTATCCATGATCTGGCACTCTCTTCGGGAAAAGAATTTAGCCGAGCGTGATTGAATTTCCTTCGCTCACATAGAAAGAGTAGTATTGTTTCGTCTTGACATAACGTCGCGCTGATTTGTTCCGAAGATATCAAATAATATAATCTTAAGGATATGCCGAGGAGTATCAGCATCAACCGCAACTCGCTGCTTCACGGCTGCTTCTATGTATTTTAATCATTCGGCATTTATGATAAACTGTTGGAAGATCTGTGACGTATATTCAATGATACGTGACGCTGCATAAAAACAGTCCCGTTATATCCCTCGAGGGGCGACTCGCCCTAGATAGCGTAAACGAATGTTTTGCTCGTTCGTCAAGCAAATGTTATTGCGTACAACTAACAGAAGAGCATGTTTTGTTGAAAGACGACGACATAGACTTTACTGGATAAAAATAAAAAAAATAGCGATATGTATAATTGCGTCGCTACGCAAGTCGATAAAATACTTGCCGCGTTTTATAAAGGGAAAACAGCTGTTTAACCCCTTGGCCTACACGCTGTCTCCCGATTGCTCGGGCCATAGTAAACAGGGAAGTCGATCGCGCGAACGAAGTACCACGAGTCAGGCTCGTGCTTATTGTTTATGGCCGAAATTCCTTACCACGAGTCTCACTCGTGGTTGTAGGCCAAAGGGTTAAACGATGGGTTGCAAGGTGTCCTTTGTTCCGCGATTTAACTGCTAGTTGCAAAATATTAAATAAAACAGAAAAATATATATATGGATTTCGATCATCTCCTAGTGATGCATTATACTAATACTAATTGTTCGGCAGACAAGGGGCCCGCGTTAACATGTAACTTGGAACATCTTACGACCGACTAGTTCTTATGTGTCGATAATACCAACATCACCCACACGTGCAGACGTTATATTTGACGTTCAGCATCGATATTGTTCGCATAATGCAGTATACGTGTAATGGGAAAATAAATAAAGTGGCGCGACCGTGTTGACGTGCGTTCGCTAGCTAATCTACACGGTAACTAGATTACCGAGATACATTATGCACGCGATGTAAGTCAACTCTCCATACTCAGGTAACCACTCCAACCTAATCTCGTTGCAACGGAAAGCAAACCCGTGCGCCCGAAAATGCGAAAAATATGTACATATCGTTAAGCGCCACAGTGTGGGGGGGAGAAAAAGATACATAATGTAAAAGTAAAGGTAGCTATTTTAGTAAATATATACCCACGAGAATCTCAAATCTGTCCCGTGATACCCGGAACGTACTTGACGAATTAACAAAAAGGACGTGAGGAGAACGAACTACTTTTCGTGACCGTGCGATAAGGTAATATATATTACAATGTATATCGATATGTATATATAAACAGAGAAAGAGAGAAGAGGAAAGAGAGATGCAACAATTAATATATTTGTCTCATCTACTAACGTGTGTGTGTGTGTTTGTATAATAAATATTGTATGTAGAAACTCGTGTGTTTCTCTTTCCACAAAAAGTCCAAGCATACCAGTATGTGTTACCAAGATATCTGCTAACTGGTAAAAAGTGGGTAAGAAAAGCAGTGAGAATAGGGCGTGTTAAAGAAACGGTGAGGCAAGAGGTGATTAAAAAGAGGAGACGATGTGGCTCGAGAAATCCGGAATTTCTCTAGCAGTCACGGATCCATGATAATAATATGGGCCGAGAGGATTGGACAGGGGGAAAGAGACATATTTACTAATCGGAGAGTAAGTTCGTCGCAGGTAGCGAGAGTGGTCCCGTTTGCTT